TCACAATTATTCGAGAAAAAGACATGACAGCTAATTTTCTCATTCCTTTTGATAATTTTGTTTTATTACATGGTACTTTTTTGACGTCCAAGGTAGATTTCCCGCTGGCCAATCACGAGACAGCAGTATTCTGCATTAAGCAAAGTTGCTCAAACTGTCTGCTGATGACTTTGAAAGCCGCAAAGCTGCCCAATATCCAAAATGATACCCAAAATAGAAAAATACCTTTTTATATACGTATATAATATTTATAAAATGAGATCTTATTTTTGTATACGCCAGCAACTTTTCATTGTTTCTTCGAATAATAAATTGTTGAGAATTTAGAGAGAGGTTATAAGCTAACATGTTATATACAATTTTTTTTAACAATCAAATATGTTGATTCGTTGGAACGTTTGCAAAATAATTATTATGGGAAAAGTATCCAAATCAACTGTGTGAATCACGCCCATGGGCAATGTTAGAGGGTCGGTGTGTCATGCAAATATAAATAACAGCTTGAATGAATGGGATTTAACGAAAACCATTAATGAAGGCCACTTGCACTTACGCTGATAAAGGGGGTAAAACAAAATTTGGCCATTATAGGGATTGGGATTTTTTTTTTTTTTTTTTTTTCACACTCTCAATTTGCTACTCCTTATATATATGGCTTTAAATTTGAAAGTTTAGATTCTCTAATTATTCATCAATTTAAATCGCTATTATATCAGTAATGCAAATAACCGCTTATTCCTCTTCATCTATATATATTTTATATACGCATGTCTGCCGACTGCCATCTTTGAAAGAGAGATATCGACCGTCTAAAGCTCATTAGACGTAGTAACAATAGGGAACCAACTGATGGTTTGGTCCCAAGATACATAATATAAATGTTGTAACGTATGATTTTACTAATTGATTTTCTCATCAAGCCATTGAAAGTTGCATGCATACATTTGTCAAGAAAAATATAACTAAGTACACAATAACGGTTAGACTAAACTGAAAACTAATTGCATGCATTCATTGGCTTTGTTTTCCAAGATGTAAATAGTAAATTTCTTTTCCACCACCACACACAAGAAAATGTAAACAAGTAATGGAGGTTAATTAGGTTATTCAAAACCTTCTTCAGACAAAAATGTATAATACACACACCTCACCACCACACAGTAATTTTTATTTGAATTTACGAGAATCAGCTTTTTGATACAAGTTGAATCAAATTTCTTTGTCAAGTAATGAATCTCCTTGATTTCATAAATACATTTCTTACCAAAATATAAAATAAATACCATTAGCTTTTTTTAAAATAAAGAGAGCAGGTGATATCATTTTTTTGGCAGGAAATATCATTATTATCCAGTGATCTTATCATCACATTTGTCCTCGAAGGCTGCATCTTCAGTTTCTATATAGATACAATAATAGATATATACAGCTTTATTTAAAATATTATTCCTAAAATTACATTCTCCAACCAAAGTACCACTTTTAGTAGTATATAAACAGTACTGTCAATTAACAAAACACACACAAACAAAAAAAAGCACACGAGACAAAAGGCAGAATGGGTTATTCTCGGCAAACGAGGCGAAACAGAGCACTCTCCTCTGTTTCCACACTTCTCCTCTGTTTCCTCCTCTGCATCTCTGAGCCATCGAACGCCCAATCTTCTCCGGTCTTCGCATGTGACATCACTGGAAACCCTTCTCTAGCCGGATTTGGATTCTGCAACACGGAATTGAAGGCCGAAGATCGAGTCACCGATCTTGTCGGAAGATTGACGTTGGAGGAGAAAATCGGGTTTTTGGGGAGCAGAGCTAACGGCGTGAGCCGCCTTGGAATACCTCCTTATAACTGGTGGTCGGAGGCACTTCACGGCGTTTCTGATGTCGGACATGGTACTAACTTCTCCGGCCAAGTCCCTGGCGCCACTAGCTTCCCTCAAGTCATACTCACCGCTGCTTCTTTCAATGTATCTCTGTTCGAAGCCATTGGCAAGGTAAAAGACTAATCCCCTTTTCCACTTTCCCCTAAATGTGAAAACTCACTCGTCATGCAAATAAAATATTTGATTTAGATGCAAGTATTATGATTCTTGCTTCTAGCGTTAATAACATTGATCCATGAGTTGGTTTAAGGTTGTGTCGACGGAGGCGAGGGCAATGTACAATGTGGGATTAGCTGGATTAACGTTTTGGTCACCGAATGTGAACATATTCCGGGACCCGAGATGGGGACGAGGACAAGAGACTCCTGGAGAGGATCCGACGCTCACGAGCAAATACGCGGTGGCTTATGTTAAAGGTCTTCAGGACACTGAAGGTGAAGATCCAAACCGTCTTAAAGTTGCCGCTTGCTGCAAACACTACACCGCCTATGACGTTGACAATTGGCAAAATGTCCAACGTTACACATTCGACGCCGTGGTAAGAAAAAAAAGAACCTCAGTGAGGTTTGTTATTTGGTCACACCAAATATATTTCCATGTGTTTATGCACTGTTTTCTTATCGTGTGTTGGATTAGGTGAACCAACAAGATATGGATGATACGTTTCAACCACCGTTCAAGAGCTGTGTAGTTGATGGGAATGTGGCTAGTGTCATGTGTTCTTACAACAAAGTTAACGGTAAACCGACATGCGCTGATCCTGATCTGCTTTCTGGTGTGATCCGCGGTCAATGGAAGTTAAATGGGTAAGGTTGTTTCTAAACAGTTTATTTCTGTGTGAAGGGTTTGGGGTTTTTAATCATAGATTTGTTTTTTTTTTTTTTGTGTGTGTGTTTTAGGTACATTGTTTCAGATTGTGATTCAGTAGATGTGATGTATACGAGCCAACACTATACCAAGACTCCAGAGGAAGCTGTGGCCAAATCTTTGTTGGCAGGTTTGGATTTGAATTGTGATCATTTCACAGGTCAACACGCAATGGAAGCGGTCAAGGCGGGTTTGGTAAACGAAACAGCAATTGACAAAGCGATTTCAAACAACTTCGCGACTCTTCTGCGCTTAGGATTCTTCGATGGTGACCCGAAGAACAAGCCCTACGGTGATCTCGGTCCCAAGGATGTTTGCACCGTTGAGAACCAAGAACTCGCTAGAGAAGCAGCAAGGCAAGGCATTGTCTTGCTCAAGAACTCTGCTGCTTCGCTTCCCCTCTCATCTTCCGCTATCAAAACGTTAGCAGTGATTGGACCAAACGCCAATGCCACCACAACGATGATCGGAAACTACCATGGTAAACCGAAATTAACACAAAATTGAAACACAAGGTCGATTCAATTTCAAGCTTTAAAACTGAGATCGGTTTTTTTTTTTAATATATTTTCAGGGATACCGTGCAAGTACACAACGCCGCTTCAGGGATTGGCAGAGACAATATCGTCGAGGTATGAGCCAGGTTGTTCTAACGTGGCGTGCGCAGAGGCGGATTTAGACTCAGCCATGGCTCTGGCGGCTTCTTCGGATGCGGTTGTGCTCGTGATGGGGGAAAATCTATCAATTGAACAAGAGAGCCTTGACCGAGTCGACTTGTTTCTTCCCGGGAAACAGCAAGAGCTTTTGACTCAGGTGGCTAAGGTGGCGAAAGGACCGGTGGTTCTAGTCATTATGTCCGGTGGAGGATTCGACATTACTTTCGCCAAGAACGACGACAAGATCACGAGCATTTTGTGGGTTGGGTATCCTGGTGAAGCCGGTGGTCTCGCCATTGCTGACGTCATCTTCGGTCGTCATAATCCGTGTAAGTATAATTCCGCTTGAACCGGTGAGAACCGACCGGTTTTGTTTTAAGATTATTTTCTTAACCGGTGGGAATTGTTTTGGTTTTTCGGTAGCTGGACAGTTGCCAATGACGTGGTATCCTCAGTCGTATGTGGAGAAAGTTCCGATGACGAATATGAACATGAGACCCGACGAATCGACCGGGTATCCGGGTCGGACTTACCGGTTTTACGCCGGAGAAACCGTGTATGCCTTCGGAGACGGGATTAGCTACACTCAATTCACCCATCGGCTAATCAAAGCCCCAGGACTTGTCTCTCTCCGCCTTGACCAGAGCCACCCTTGCCGATCATCGGAGTGCCAATCAGTGGACTCGATCGGACCGCACTGTGAGAACGCCGTCAAGGGAAGATCGGATTTCGAAGTCCACCTGAATGTAAGGAACGCCGGAGACAGAGAGGGGAGCCACACGGTGTTTCTGTTCACGACGCCGCCGGCTATACACAGATCGCCGATTAAGCATCTGCTAGGGTTCGAGAAGGTTCGACTGGGGAAGAATGAAGAGGCGGTGGTTAGGTTTAAGGTCGATGTGTGTCAGGATCTGAGTGTGGTTGATGAAATCGGGAAGAGGAAAATCGCATTGGGCCAACATCTTCTCCATGTGGGAAGCTTGAAACATACCTTGAACATTAGGGTCTGATATGATGAATTTCTTTTTGTTGGTTAAAATTTAAAAAGGAATGAAAATATTGAGGACGTATTTTTCGCGTTTGGTTTAAAGAAAATCGCGTTCGAAAAACGAATTTGAAAAATCCTCGCAGTCTCTTCTCTTCTTCGTCATATTCACACTCGCGCCGCCGCCTTTTTTATCGCCGTCGACGCTATATTTCACCGCCGGCGTCTCTTTTAGAACTGGCCGAAAGTGAGAAACACTAGGAGAAATGTTTATCGAATCTGTCCGTCCAGATTTTAAAATGAATAATTACCTAATTAAAAAAAGGAATAAACGACTTTCGAGGAAATTTATAATGGAAAAGGAGCAGATATAACGAAAACCCACTTTTCACCGTCGATTTCGTATGAACAGTAGTATTCAAGAGAGGGAAAGAGCTTAGATTTCTGCTCTTATTCGAATGTGTGATTTTTGTTAGGATAATGACAATATATAATCTCATTGAATAGATTTAATTTAATCTGTTTAGATTTAGATAGACTCAAATCTTTTGTACTCGACGAGATTAATTATCTATAATCTAGTGTCATTAACCTAACAGTTTCTGCTATTGGTCCTGATTTGTCGCGTTGACTTTTTAGGAACTGTGGGGGTGGAAAAAGTGAAGATTTAGAGTCGGAGATGCCGCCTGACGGCGAACTGGCTCCGTTGGAGCAGTCGGCGGTGAAGAGGAAGACAACTCAGTCATGTCGGAATTGGATTTCCATAGACGTCAAGGGGAAAAAAACAGAGCTTGGTACAGACAAATACAAGATTATGGACCGTGTCCAGATCCACGCTCGCGATCTCCGGATCCTCGACCCAAACCTTTCTTACCCTTCTGCTATTCTAGGTCGAGAGAGAGCCATTGTTCTTAACTTAGAGGTTAGGACTCTGTTTTCTCCTCTGTTTTTTTTTTTCTTATTGTTGATTATGTTTTGATTTTTTTTTTTTTTTGGTTGGATGCAGCATATCAAGGCGATTATCACTGCCGAAGAGGTTAGATTAAGTTTACTTTTGATTTATATTTTTCTTGATAGAGAAACTTCTTTCTCGCTGGCTCGTAGCTAAACTAGCTAGATTTGGACAAAACACTAAACTTGCTAAAGTTGGTTACTTGAAGCATACTTTGTTTGATGTTTTTGAAAATGCTACAGGTTTTGCTTAGGGATTCAACAGATGAAAATGTTATTCCCGTCCTGGAGGAGCTTCAGAGACGCTTGCCTGTTGGAAATGAGGCACACCATGGTCAAGGAGATGCTGAAGCTGGCGAGGAAGAAGGTATCCCTCAACACTACATAGGAGAATCATTTACTCTTGTTCGCTTTTTGGTATTTGAAAATGTGTGTTTGTTACTATTTAGAATCCCCGTTTGAATTCCGGGCGCTAGAGGTGGTTTTGGAAGCTATTTGTAGTTTCCTTGCTGCAAGGACAACAGAACTAGAGAGCTATGCTTATCCTGCTTTGGATGAACTTACCTTGAAGGTAACGTAACTTGGCCATTATTTGTCTTCACTGATCCATTCCCAACTACATCAGACGATGAACAGCCATTTCGTTTTGTAGATAAGTAGCCGTAACTTGGATAGGGTTCGTAAAATGAAGAGTGCCATGACCCGATTGACAGCTCGTGTCCAAAAGGTGAGTAGTAATCACTTGGAAACAGAGCACATGTTTATAAAACAAGTGTATTTTGTGAATTATGCTTAAGCCTCATGACAATTAACTGTGTTTTAAAGTGAGTCATTCAATCATCTCATCACTATTTTTGTAGGTTACGGATGAGCTCGAACAGTTGTTGGATGATGACGACGATATGGCTGATCTCTATCTTTCAAGGAAGCTTTCTGGTGTATCTTCATTGATTAGTGTTTCTGATGAACCCGTTTGGTATCCTACGTCCCCAACAATAGGTTCCAAGATTTCCAGAGCAAGTAGAGTGAGAGCCACGGTTTGTGGGGACGATGAAAATGATGTTGAAGAACTTGAAATGTTGCTCGAGGTTGTTGCATGGATAGTGGTTATATATCTACTTTCAGCTACATATGAATATTAAACAATCATTAATTTGTTTTTTTTTTTTTTTTTCTGACAGGCATACTTTATGCAAATCGGCAGCACTTTGACCAAATTAACCGCGGTACTGTATCATCTTGTTCACTTATGTTCTTGCCTCTCTTTTTTTCTTGCTTATTATAGTTTTCGAATCTCCTCTGAACACGATGCAGCTACGCGAGCATATTGATGGCACAGAGGACTGTATTAACATTCAGGTAAGCAAAACGAATACTTTTTTTTTTCCCTGAATTTCAAGGATGTTATGTAAATGTAAGCTCTCTCAATGCCTAATGTAAATAAAATCATCGTTTAATTTTTGCAGTTAGACAAGCATCGAAATGACCTGATTCAGGTGAGTGAATATAGAAGAAACCTCAAGATTGATAATTCTATCTCATATATTTTTTTTAATGTGTTTAAAAAGTACCCTGAATCTCTGCAGTTAGAGCTTAAGTTAAGCTCTATAACCGTCTGTGTATCGGTGGCCTCTCTGATCGCAGGAATATTTGGTATGAACATTCCCTACACATGGAACGACGACCATGGATACATGTTCAAATGGGTATGGAACACATTTAGAAAGAATCGTTTAGAATCATGTAAAGAATTGATTTCATAGGCTTTTTCTTGTTTTGGTTTCTCTTTTTGCAGGTGGTTATTGGCACAGGGGCGTTTTGCACAATCTTGTGTGTGATTATACTATCGTATGGTCGGTTCAAAGGGCTTGTGGGATGTTGATGATCGGATGAAAAAAAAACCCAGGTGGATTGTAAATGCATTAGGTGTAACATGTTCATCATATGAAATCGATGAACGATTGAATTCGCGGAAGATTCTATGATAGATAATTTTATCCGTGGTATACGTACATTGCGGTTAAATGCGTTTTGAAGATCTTTTTTGGTTTTGAAGATCCAAAATTTCGTTTTATCTTCAAATCAAAGCAAAGCCATTGGCATGTTTCTGGCCATTTATGGTTTTGTAATAAGACAAAGTGGTTATTCATATATCAATATAATTTGATCCCAAACCAAAACAAGAACATGAAATATAATAAAAAAAAGATGGAAAATTTAGTATAGTAGCTTTTTAGTAGATACTGTAAAAATATAATATTAGCTTCCACATTATATATACTATATGAGCTTTTACAAATAGGCTTACATGAAACAAAATAAGAAAAACAAAAATTATGCAACAAAAACTATAATATGATAATACATTTACTTTTTAAATAATATATATTTCTCAAAATTTAACCAATAAAATCTCACAAAACATATGATCATAAACAAAAATACAATAATAATTCAATTTACTACAAGACTCAGAAAAGATAAAATAACATTACGTAATAAAAGAATAAACACAAAATCTTACAGATTCACAAGTTTTTCTAAAAATCCTATGGTTTCAGAGATTTGACCACTGAATCTACAACTAGAAAGTATTTACCTCTTTTACTTTATACCTACTAGTACTAACACAGAACAAAACTTTAGTTGCTCACTTACAGTTCATTAAGATCTGTAAGATTATTCAGACTTGAAGGCATGTTTCCAGTAAACCAATTCCTATCAAGGCATCTGTATCAAAGAAAACACACACATGATACCAAAGAAGTTGGACAAATACACAACCTGAAAATTCACTTACTACTTACAACACTGTTAACGATTTAATGAGGTTGAGACTATCTGGGATTTTCCTAGTGAATTGGTTTCCATCATTTAGGCTATCGACAAAACAACAAACAAGGAAGTTACTCTGTTAGACACTACTCTCAACTTGTGCAAATTCTCAGCTGAAGAGTTTTTCTGAAATTTCTCCTTAAAGCTTGTTTCTCCCAAAATGATTGTCATATAAAGTAGTGAAAAAGAGTCAGATTATAATTATTATATTAAAAAAAGACTAATTACATAAAGCCAAATGGAAAGAGTTTTTCAATATATACAAATTCTTAGCTTCGAGAAGCAGGTAGTCCGAGTGCAGAAGGAAGCTTGCCATCAATCTCATTATCAGCTATATCAAACCATTGTAGTTTTGATAACTATCCAATGGAAATAGGAGATAAGACAAGGTGATGATCTACTTATCTTGTAGATTCACAAGTTCTTCTAGCTGATAAATATTGGTGAAAAAGGTTTTTCTAATAAGACAAAGTGATTATTCATATATCAATATAATTTGATCTCAAACCACAACATTCACTCTGAAACATGAATATAATAAAAAGGTTGTAAAATTTAGTATAATAGTTTTTAGTAGATGCTGTAAAAATATAATATTAGCTTCCACATTATATATACTATATGAACTTTTACAAATAGACTTACATGAAACCAAATAAATTATGCAACAAAAACCTATAACATATAATATATTTACTTAAAAAATAATAATATATTGCTCAAAATTTGACTAATAAAATCTCAAAAAACAAGCAGATAAAAATGTGTATTCACCAAGTAAACATATAAGTCTAATTGGGAGGGAGAGTGCAGCTTCTGGACTAAACAAATGAGCGTGATCTTCGGAGGAAAAACAGGCACAGTATGTGTTGTCGCAGTTCTTCTCTCTTCACAAGCTTGAGGACAAGCTTTTCTAATTTTTAAAGGGGCGGGTATTGATACGTTGGTTTTTGAGAGAGTTTATGCATCTTTTGTATAATCTAGAAAGAGGACTAAGAATTTCTTACATGGAGATTATTTTGTTCTTGAAACAGGTTACATCCACCCAGCTTCCACAAGGATCAGGTCCCACCCATGAATCAGGGAACCTGATCCAATTTGACTTCAATGCTTTCATCACAGAAGCTGCACCAAGATTAGAAAAGAACTCAATTAAAAACCCTAAATTTTGCAAAAAGAAAACCTTGAATGTCAATGTATTATCACACTTACCATCTGAAGAATAAACATGGGCAAGAGCAGAACAAACATGGGCAAGAATCAGTAGCAACATGATGAATGACTTCATTTCTCCGAACTTTGGTTTTCTGCTGGAAGGAACGTCTTTTCTATTTTTTTATCTAAAATGCAGGAGAAGAAGATGCAGAAGAAGAAGAAGAATGTCGTTGTCGCTTTAAATGTTCTGAACGTTAATCATGGTCTTAGTAGGAACTAGGATCTCTACGAAGAAGTTAAGGAAAAAACAAAAAAAAAAAACAATTTACGGAAGTCAAAGGTCAAAACTCAAAAAGGTGACATTTCTTAACCGAACCAAGACAAATAAAAAACGCTCATCCGGTCCTAACTGAATTGAAATTGAATATACGGAATTGAACCGACTTGAATTTGGTATTTTGAGTCCAGCCTCCAGGGAAGAACCTAATTGAGAATACAAAAATCATTTTCTCAATTACATTTTCTTTGTTCTCCTTCGATTCTCTCTGCCCGAAGCGAGTTCTACTGGCTCAGATCCACCAGGTATTCAATTCTTTTTTGGATTAAAATTTACTATTATTCGCCGTGCATCTGATTACTTCTTTTCCTTCTCCTTCTTCTTCTGGGTTTCTATTGATTGCTTTATATGGATTCATGAATAAGAATTGCATGGCCTGTTTGTGGAATTAACTCTTCTGGTTTTAGTTCCTCTTCAATTTGTTCCATTTTCTCTTTAGATTTTTTTTTTGTTGTTGTTCGTGTGTGTGTGTGTGTGAAGCTTTATGCTATTTGCTTGCTCTATACTAATAAATCTTGGTCAAGAATCCCTAAATCAGCATCTTTAGTCTCTGTTTTGTCTCTAACATTCTTCTATCAAGTCTTTGTTATGTGATGCTATTGGATGAGTCCTTGTTTCCATCTTCTTCCTTTCCAGAGTGCTTTAGAGAGCCTTTAAGGTTTTTTTTTAACTCTAACTGATACCAACTCTTCTGAAGATTGTTGCTCGAAGCTCAGTTTGAGCTCAAGATGGATACTACTAGGGATGATGATTTCACATTCTCAAGGGTGAGGTTTCGTATAAGTGATAAAAACATGAAAGTTTTGGTGGGGGTTATGATTGATTCTTGGTTTGTCCCGTTTGAAGGTTGTGCCACAAGATAGTGAAGTTGTTCTAGAGGCCAAAGACCTTGCATCACATGTACACGATATTGCCCTTAACGATGGATCAGATCGTCAAAGCAACTCTCTGAAACAAGATCCTCCAAAGGAAAAGATAGTAGGTTCTCTGTCTTTCACGGTGACTGATTCCTCATCTTCAAAGCTGTCCAATGAATCATCTGAGATCCTCAAAGCTTCAGCTAGGAAGCCTATAAAACGTACCAAAGTTCCATTTGAAAAGGGTTATAGCCAAATGGATTGGCTCAAACTTACACGAACACATCCCGATCTTGCAGGTTAAGCTTTCTTCATTAGTCTTCTGTTTCCTAAATACTTTTTTCATGTGCTACATGAAGGGGCAATGCATTTTGTTTTGCAGGCCTCAAGGGAGAGTCAAACAGGAGGCTTATTTCAATGGATGAAGTTAAGAAGCACAAATCAGGAGATTCGATGTGGACTGTTTTGAAAGGTCGTGTGTACAACATATCACCTTATATGAATTTTCATCCTGGGGGTGTCGATATGCTGATGAAAGCCGTTGGGAGAGACGGTACGTTCTTGTTTAACAAGTACCATGCTTGGGTCAATTATGACATCTTACTTGAGAAATGTCTTGTTGGAGTTTTGGATGATACCAAAATGAAGAAGCAAGAAGCTTAATGGCTAATGCTAAAAGGTTGAGATTATCTCATACACGCGTATAGAGAGGATTCTTAAGTCAATAAGATTTTTTTTAGTGTTTCCATTTTGATTCTTCAAATGAAAACGCTGATCACAACATGTACTGTGTATTAGACTTTTACACAACTCTTTGATGTCAATATGTTAAAGGTTTCCAGAATCAGTGATTCCCATGTTAATCTCTTTTACAAACTTTGGAATGGCAAATTACAAATATTATATAGAATCTTAATCTTATACAAAGTTCACAATACAATAGACAACAGTAGATAATGCACTTCGATTCATACAAGGAAAACAACAAAATAGATATACATGAAGATACCAACAAAGAGGGAAATGAAATCAAAGAAAAGTCAAGCAGACATACATCCTACGCCATATCGAGTGGTCGGAAAAACAAGAAACAAAGCACTGCAAACAATTCCGACCATTAATGGAAAGCTCTCCATAACTTGGTCTATCTCTTTCTCTTTCCCTGGAAACAAACATCCAGTGACCCTCCGATCCGAAGACGCAATCGCCATAAACACCAAAACGCTCATCACTGCATGAACAAAGTCGTTAACCTTCAACTTATACCTCTCGTCCGTGACCGGAATCGCCGCCTCCGCAATCACATCTCCGCCTCCGAAATCCGGCGGTGGCGGTTTCATGAACACAGCAAGTCCACGTGGCGTCACGAACCCGTAATAGATTTTCCCATCGGCGGCTTTGAAACTATCGGTGAAGTGGAAGAAGAAGCAAGACATGGCGCAGAGAAGCAAGAGAAGATGGATCATGAGCGTGTTGATTCCGTTACAGTCACCGCCACGGTAAATCGACGGAAGAACCATTTCGAACATCAAGAGAGTTCCTGTCGGAAGGAAATTGACGAGCATTGATGTCTTTGAAACCGTTTTTTGAACTCCTTGCGCCACCATGCGACGTTTTCGACCTTTTCCTCCTCCGGCGGCTGCTCCTGCCGGAAGTGTCGGAAGTGAAGAGACTGAGACGGGTTTCGGCGAACGAGATGGTGGTGATGGTTTTTGCGACGGAGTCGCCGTGTAAACTCTGATTCCTACACTTTCCTCTGTTTTCTCCATTTTTTTTGTTTGTTTCTCTGTTTTTCTGATGAGACAGTTTTCGTTTTCTGTGAAATGTACCAGTTTATATATACTTTTGATCCGCTAAGACTGTAACTGTCTCTATATTATTTTATCTGAAGAAGTTGCTCTCTGGTAACTATAAGAAAGGCAAATCAGACTTTTCAAAGTTCACGCTTTTTTCTCCCCAACCACAGTCGTTATTTTTATTTTATCAGACTGAGGGTAGTTAAGGTATTTGAAGTTTAAAGAAAAAACCTGACTCGTCCACGCATTATTATATTAGACTATCACTTTGCCAATAATCTAGATTCTTGTTTCTTCGACACCTGTTTCTAAATTTGATTCTCTCATTTTTCTTCTTGTTTTCTCCTTCGATTCTACCTGAAACCCAAGTTTCAGATCCACCTGGTAACTCTCTTCTTCATTCTTTTCTGATTCATTTTGTTAATGGGTTTTCATTAATTTGCTTGATAGGGGTATTTGAATCAGAATCTATGGCTGCTTTTTAAAAATTGAACTCTTCTGATTTTAATTATTCCCATCAGTTGTTCTTCAATCATTTAGACTTTGTTTTGTCTTCATATTATTCGTCTATGGAAATCTTTTTATGTGAAGTTTGCAGAGAATTTGTAGTTATTTGATGAGTATTTGTTTAGATTTTTTTTTTTTCCCTAAAGTGCTTCTTTGTTTATTGGCTTGTTCAGAAACTTGATGATAATATCTATTCTGGTGTTTTCTCCTGCTTTCAATAATCAATCTTCTAAGTCAAACTTCTGAAAATATATATTTTCTTAGATTTTTGGATCTTGTGTTTGGATGTTCAATCGTGTTTCAAACCAAGTTTTGTATTAGAAAAAGAAAGGAGTTGACTTTTGAGTTTTTGATGCATCTCATGTGATTTTCACTTTTTTTTTTTTACTGAAATTTTTGGCAACAGTACAGAGGAGGACATAATATCAGTAAATACCATTGTACAAATCTAATATTTTGTGTACTCTATTTGATTAAAGATGTACAATTTTACATCTCACTTTAATTAGTATAGGCTGCAATTTGCATCCAGAAGTCATTTGGTTGGTACTTGGCCTTATGTAGCTTTCAATCTTCTTCTCTTCAACTTCAGACGCTTACTTTTATGACTTCAATTCCCTTGAATGTTCTCCGTCTGGCTCAGATTTTTCTAATGTTGTTGCATTCATAAATACAATGTTCTTTGTGCTTCATGCATCTCGCTATCTCTCTAGTTTAATGTTTTCTGGATTTTGTTTCAGGTCTCGAGGAAAGTTCTACAAGAAAATATCTTTACTTGCCAGCTGAACCTGATGTTTTGGGTAATATCTATCTGGTTGACAGTATTACACTAGCAAAATAGTTCTTTGTTCCAATTCTTGAAGATGGACAGGGCAGATACCTCTGGCTTTGTTAGTGGCGGAAGTTTATTATCTCTCAAGTTATTCCAATAAATGCTTATAGCTACAAGTTTGATGTGCTAAGTCATAGCTTTTTGGGAGTTCTCTTTCAATCTAAATCCTTTTGATCTTCATATGAATTTGAACGACGGTGTGGCTCATCTCTCTTATGCCACCGGCATCAATAATCACGACAATATGGGTGACACTGCTCTTAGCCTGAAGTGCCTGTCTGACTCTCAAAACCATTTTTGTTGTTCTGATGTTTCTAATTGCACTGATGATGGCTGCCGCTTGGTCCTTGGATTAGGTCCAACATCAGCTTCATACTATTTCAGCAACAAAGAATATGGTTCTGGATTCACTCAAGAACTCGCAGCACCAGGTGATTCAGTTCTGCAGCTTGGTCTTCCAGCTGTAAGCATAGACACTCTCAGCGGACCGGATTGTTCATTTTCGACATATGCAGATATCAATAACAGTAGACAATGTGTGGTTCCTGTTGTAGATGAGTGTTCTACTTCTGCAAAGAGATCAGGTGGTTACATGCCATCACTTCTGTTAGATCCAAGGTCGGAAAATGACAGAAGTCCTTCAAAGATCCAAGAACTTGACCATTTTGGAACCGGCGTGCGTTATGATAATTCACAAGTGAGCCTAGAGTCATCACAATACACAACGTTCTCTGTACAGCAGAGGACTTACAACCCGAGGAAGTGCAAATTTATGGGATGTGTGAAGGTAGCTCGAGGAGCGTCAGGGCTCTGCATCTGCCATGGAGGAGGACAGAGATGCCAAAAGCCAGGCTGCAACAAAGGTGCAGAGAGTAAAACCACTTTCTGCAAAACACATGGTGGAGGGAAGAGATGTGAACACTTGGGATGCACGAAGAGCGCTGAAGGGAAAACAGATTTCTGCATATCTCATGGTGGTGGAAGACGCTGTGAGTTCAATGAAGGATGTGACAAAGCAGCTCGTGGAAAATCTGGCCTCTGCATCAAACACGGTGGTGGCAAAAGATGTAACATCGAAAGCTGTACAAGAAGTGCTGAAGGACAAGTTGGTCTTTGTATATCCCATGGTGGTGGGAAACGTTGTCAGTTTTTCTCAGGTTGTAATAAAGGAGCTCAAGGAAGTACTAACTACTGCAAAGCTCATGGAGGTGGAAAACGCTGTATATTTTCAGGGTGTAGCAAAGGAGCAGAAGGGAGTACTCCTCTGTGTAAAGCACACGGTGGTGGGAAACGCTGTCTCTCTGATGGAGGTGGGATTTGCTCTAAAAGCGTACATGGTGGGACTAACTTCTGTGTTGCTCATGGTGGTGGGAAAAGATGTGCAGTGGCTGAGTGTACCAAGAGTGCGCGTGGTCGAACGGACTGTTGTGTCAAGCACGGTGGTGGGAAACGGTGTATGATTGATGAGTGTGAGAAGAGTGCTCAAGGTAGTACTGATTTCTGCAAAGCTCATGGTGGTGGCAAACGATGTTCTTGGGGAGATGGGAAATGCGAGAAGTTCGCTAGAGGGAAGAGCGGTTTCTGCGCTAAGCATAATAGTGTTATGTCTCGGGAGAAAGAAGAAGATGGAAGTAAGAGCGGTTTGATTGGACCTGGACTCTTTCGTGGCCTTGCTGTTGGCTCTGCCTCTGATCAGTCTCAGTCTGGAGTTAGCGCCGTCTCTGAGTGTACTGATTCTGTTGATGGAGTACGGTTTGAGAAGAGGCAGAAGAAGGAGATGATGATACCGATGCAGGTTCTTGTACCTTCGTCAATGAAATCTCCAAGTAATTCACATGAAGGAGAAACAAACATCTTTGACTTTATGATTCCGGAGGAGAGAGTTCACGGCGGCGGGCTAGTGATGTCTTTACTTGGTGGCAACCTGAAACATCCCTCCATTGATGGAATCTGAAAGACTTATGTTTTGGTAAGTATCACCTTTTCAGCACAAACCTTTGTAAAGCTGTAAATGTGTTTAGAAACTGTGGGGATCGATCATTTGTACATTTCATGGGATGTTTTGGTTTTTTGTTCGTAACCGGTTATGTTGCCCTTTGTTTGTTATCTAAACCGATGACTCAGAACACAAGTCTTGTTTCTAGATTATTTGTTGGACATTATGTAAACTGGAGCTTCCTGGATCAGTGTCACACTAGTTCCCGGTTAAATAAATAAACGTTCTGGTTTACTATCTATTCCATTTGAGGGTGTTTGAATCGGATTAAACCGGACAAAGCTCGAGCCGTGTAAACCGTAATCCGTAATGAGCTCAGTTTGGGCCTTGGGTGAGCGTTTGTATAATCGCCAAAATAATTGTCGAACCCAAAATCTACCATATACAGTATAGCCTCATCTGAAATTAATTTTCTACGGAAATTTTGAGAGCCACAACGGTCAAGAGACGAGAGCAACATGAAGATAAAGAGATAAGGGATGCTTCCTACAGATGAACAACATTTCTTTCCACACAAATTATTATTATCAAAACTCGTATATTTAAGTTACAAGTAAAAACAAATAATTATGTCATATTCTTTCAATCTAGTCCCCATAATTTTAAGTCATCTCACTTCTCTGACATAAAACTCATTAACAGCTTTCTAACGAGAGCAAACAAAGAGAACACAACAATGGAGTTTCGTGGAGTTGCCAACCAGAGGATTGCTAGGATATCAGCTCATCTTCAACCTTCTTTCACTCCTCAGGTTCTTCCTTTACCTTTTTGTTTCTTTGTCAATATCAAGTTATTTTCTTTCATTCTTTAATGGCTGGATGGTCTAAACCAGCATTAATAGTTTGTATTCATTCTCAAACAAAACTAAATTCATCTCAGATGCATCAACGTTCTTAGTTGTTCACCAAGATACAAACTTAGTCCGACCACGAACTTAACATTCGTTTCTAAGAGTGAATTTCCATTTCTAGCAACTGCAAATTTCTGAAGCCATTAAAGAGACCAATCTGTTTTACAACTTAGTTTACTGAACTTATATCTTCCGTGATGGATCGATCATTAGATGGAGGCGAAGAACTCTGTAATGGGACGAGAAAACTGCAGAGCGAAAGGTGGGAATCCAGGATTCAAAGTAGCAATACTTGGAGCTGCTGGTGGAATCGGACAATCTCTATCCTTGTTAATGAAGATGAACCCTCTTGTCTCTTTACTTCATCTCTACGATGTTGTCAATGCTCCCGGAGTCACAGCTGACGTCAGCCACATGGACACCGGAGCTGTTGTAAGAAGTTGTCATAAGATGGCTTCTTCTTGCTAACGAATGAGTAAAATGGACACTCTAATTGATTTGAGATCATTTTGTTAGGTTCGCGGATTCTTGGGACCGAAGCAGCTTGAGGACGCGCTAACGGGCATGGATCTTGTGATCATACCAGCTGGTGTGCCGAGGAAACCAGGGATGACTCGTGATGATCTCTTTAAAATCAATGCTGGGATTGTTAAGACACTATGTGAAGGTGTAGCCAAATGCTGTCCTAATGCCATTGTCAACTTGATTAGCAACCCTGTGAACTCTACTGTCGCCATTGCCGCTGAGGTTTTCAAGAAAGCTGGAACTTATGATCCTAAGAAGCTTCTTGGTGTTACTACGCTCGATGTTGCTCGTGCCAACACATTCGTGGTAATAATGTCTTTATTGATTCCTCAACTCCATTTGGTTTTCTTGACTTTCCAATCACCAAGATTTGACCTTTTCTAAACCTTGTGCAGGCAGAAGTTCTTGGCCTTGATCCAAGAGAAGTCGATGTACCAGTCGTTGGTGGACACGCCGGAGTCACAATTTTGCCACTATTGTCACAGGTTTCATATCAATAGAACACGCAGGTCATCTTCATTATATTAGCTCCTCTGCTAATTGATGGTTTTGAATATATTTTTTTGGCCTCAGGTTAAACCTCCTAGCAGCTTCACAGCTTCAGAAATTGAGTACCTGACAAACAGGATTCAAAATGGTGGAACGGAAGTTGTGGAGGCAAAAGCTGGAGCTGGATCTGCAACACTTTCAATGGTAACAAACCAAATCACTTCAAGACATCATCATAACATTTTTTCCTTCTCAGGAATAGTGTCCTGAATCCATGTGGAATGTACTACTACTACAGGCATATGCTGCAGCCAAGTTTGCAGATGCTTGCCTTCGCGGGTTAAGAGGTGACGCGAATGTGGTGGAATGCTCTTTTGTTGCTTCACAGGTGAACCTTGAAAAGCTTTCACTTTTCATCTTTGAATGAAACATTTTTACTCTCTTTCTTCCCTTCTTTAACGCCTTTTTGTATGATTTTTAATGGCGATTTCACACCAACAGGTGACAGAATTAGCTTTCTTTGCAACCAAAGTGCGTCTTGGCCGTACAGGAGCAGAGGAAGTGTATCAGCTTGGACCCTTAAACGAATACGAAAGGTCTGAAACATCTTCTCATCTTTTCAGATTACTTTGTCTCAGAGAGAAAAGAAAGAGAGATGTTAATCTTGATTTCCCTTTTTTTTTCTTGGATGATTTCAAAATCTACAGGGTTGGTCTGGAGAAAGCAAAAGAAGAATTAGCCGGAAGTATTCAAAAAGGTGTCGACTTCATCCGAAAATGAAGCTGAGAATAATCAGAGAGACAATAAGATCAACTTTGATCATGTACTCATTATGCCTCTTACCTTCTTGCTTCTTCAACGTTGTAAATTCCTTATCAGATTGTGTACTCTATGACCTTTTCCAAGTACTTAAGTTATCACTGGGTTTTGAATCGATGATGCGAAGCTTCAACATGTTGGTTTTTCTAACCCGCATTACAGAGGTCAACAGCTTCTCAGAAGTCAGAACCAACCAATTTAGGACTGGACCTTCAAATCTTACCAAACCCCAGTTCATGATAAAGTGTAAACAAGAAAAAATGACAAATTTCTTGCATTAGCCATAAGAGATGAAATCAAGCTCCAAAAAATGGCAATGTCGTAAAACTTAAGCAGAACCTGCGTTCCAATAAGGAAGCAGTGATCTGCGATCCATGGACTGAAACGAAATCAAACCCACGCCTCAGAAACACAAACCCTCAAGATGTGTACCAGTAAAAATTCTCAAAAATCTCAAATTGCGAGAAATACCACTACGAAGAAACAAAATTAGGAGCACTTATAAATTCGGAACTTGGGGTGTTTTGCAATTGAGGAGAGATAGGAAGAAGAACTGATGACGTGGAGAGTGTTGGTGGGTCCTACTTTCGTGTGAAGAACACGTCCTTCCAATGACACGTATGAAGGCGAAAATTTTAAAATACAATACAGAATGGCTTCGCCCGGGTTCGAACCGGAGACCTTCAGTGTGTTAGACTGACGTGATAACCAACTACACCACGAAACCTTTGCGAACAACTTTCGAGAATTTTAATTTATATATATAAATTAAAGGCTAAAGTTGGTAAGACCTACTCTACAAAACCCACGTGATCTATTCTCTCCGTTTTTTGTGAACCAAATCCTGTGATTTAAAAATTTACCATTTTTAAGTGATTTTGTCTTCTCCGTTAGAAGAATAAAAGGAGAGAGCCACACCATTTTTGATCTTTCCAGAATAATGGCGGCCACGAGAGTGATTACTGCAGCGGCGGCCGCAACCCAAACCACCTCGTGCTTCCTCGCCAAACGAACTTTCCTTCTGCCGGCGAAGAAATCCTGCGGCGGATTTGGCGGTCTCTGCTTCAACAAAAGAGCTTTGGTGCTGAAATCGAAGAGACCCTTCTCGTGCAGCGCGATTTACAATCCTCAGGTTAAGGTCAAAGAAGAAGGTCAACCCGAATCCCTAGATTATCGGGTTTTCTTCCTCGATGGTTCCGGAAAGAAGGTACTCCCTTTTCTCCTCTTTGTGTCTCTCTGTCTTCAAATCAGAGCTTTGGTTTAATGTGGAAGTATTGAGGAAATGGAGTCTCTGTTTACCGTAATTATGAGTTTCGAAGGATCTACATTGTGAATTTTCTTTGAAATGCTCTTGGTTCATCTTTCTGTTCTGTGTTCTCAATCTTGGTTACTGTGACAGATTGAGAAAAAAAAAATAGATTTATCAGTTTTACCAAAATTCTAAGTTTTGGGTATGCATCACGTTGCTATTTAGAAATACTCTTGTGGTTAGATTTGGCTATGAAATGAAGAATTTTTTCTCTGAGATTGCAGTCAATGTTTAAAAATGAGTTTTTTTTTTAAATGCTTGTGGTTCACTACTCTGCCCTGTGTTTCCGTAGAGGCTGAATAAGGGTTATATGCATTGCTGTATAGGTTTCTCCATGGCATGATATACCGTTGACCTTAGGAGATGGAGTTTTCAACTTTATAGTTGAAATACCCAAAGAGTCAAAAGCAAAAATGGAGGTTGCTACTGATGAAGATTTCACTCCTATCAAGCAAGACACTAAGAAGGGAAAGCTCAGATATTACCCGTACGTAAACAGCTTTCTTTAAAAACGTATCCTTTTTTGTTTTGTTCTGCTTTGTTCTAGGTTATTTTTCAATAGGCTTCTACATCCATTGATGACCAGTTAGCCCATTTTTTAAGTTACGATTGGTTATAGACAGTGAAAACCAATGAATTTTCTCCTCAGTGATTGACACTACCGGGTTTTATCCAGGTACAACATAAACTGGAACTATGGGTTGCTTCCACAGACATGGGAGGATCCGTCTCAGGCAAACTCTGAAGTTGAAGGAGCTTTTGGAGACAATGATCCAGGTGAATCTGTGGTACTCTTTTTAGCTACTGGAATATGATATCACTTTGGGACAAAAAGAATGTGCTGATGTTATCAAGCTTATTCTTGGTTCGGATTTGCAGTTGATGTCGTTGAGATTGGTGAAACCCAGAGGAAGATAGGTGAGGTTTTAAAAATCAAGCCTTTAGCTGCTTTAGCTATGATTGATGAAGGAGAGCTAGACTGGAAGATTGTTGCCATTTCTTTGGATGACCCAAAAGCTCATCTTGTGAATGATGTTGATGATGTCGAGAAACATTTCCCGGTATGAGCTAATTTAATAGTAGAAACCAATTCCTATGTTCACGTGAGAAAGAAAATCAGACTTTATGGAAATATTTTCTGATCCTAAATCTGGTAATCAGGGCACACTAACAGCGATTAGAGACTGGTTTAGAGACTACAAGATCCCAGATGGAAAGCCTGCTAACAGATTTGGGCTTGGAGACAAACCAGCAAACAAAGTATGTTCCTTTTTCAATTTTCTGTAGCGATGATGTTTCATGTCTAGTATCAATGCTGAAAGAAGCTATACACTTTTGGTTTGGTTTTCTTAACAGGATTATGCTTTGAAGATAATCCATGAAACAAATGAATCATGGGCTAAACTTGTCAAGAGATCAGTTGATGCTGGAGACCTTTCACTATTCTGAACAGTTATATCTTGCAATGTCCAATTATGAACAGACGCAAGAGTCCTACATCATTCTTGTTTTTCTTTCCATTGAGATTTTTGTTTTCTCCTTTAATGACTGAGAAATAAAAAAGAAGATTATATTGAATTTCTGCTTTGGAAATTTATATATGGAGCATGAAACAGGCTTTGTGGCGTCACATGAAACAGAGTTTTTTGTTTAGAGTGGGAACAACACAAGGATTTTGTGACGTGATGAAGATTTACGGATTAAAAGGAAAGCAATATAAGATGTGCGGAAGGGACATCTCCCCAAAAAGCAATAAAGTTGGACGTATTCGATTACTTTTTTTGAACATTAAGCAAAAACGATGCATCAAAATTTTGAGAGAGAACATAAGTGAGAATCTTCAGAGAGGTTTTCCATCTATCCATCTTTTGAACATAAGTGAGCATTGGTCTGGATTATACTCTGCGGTGTGTCCTCCTCCCTGCAAAACCACACAATCAAAACCATTTGCATATCACTTTTTAGTCTACCTGCAGAAACTTTGGAGAAGAAAGAAAATATTTGAGAAATTATTGCCTTGATGGTTGCAAATGTCATCTTATTCGCATAAGTCCTTGTGTATCTGTCAAAGTGAAAAATATTTGAGAGTATTAGTATAAAAGAGGAAATAATAACAGTTTGATGAGATTGGAGTTTAGAAACAGTGTCTTCTCTGTTTACCCAGCGACTTGATTGGTACTCATCATCCAAGGTCTCCAGTCATCAAGAATGGAATAGTTGAGAGATTTGATCCATGCTTCGGTTGAAGAGAAAGGTACCATCATATCATGATCACCACTGTTCCAAAACTTCCAAATTTTTGAGTTTGTGACTTAATCAAGATGTACAAAGAATGCCATTACCATTTCAAAAAAGAAAAGAAAAAATGTCTCTCAAAAATAAAACAATGACATATCAAGAAATAATAATCTTGCCTGTAGATCAGTGAGCGGAAGCCTTTTCGACTATTATTCACATGATACGGAATGGCATTGTTAATGTCATATGTATATGGTATGTTTTCGGTATTGCATCGACTCCATTTTCCGATTCCCTGCATACGATTAACATTGCATTGGTGAATCTTTCTTGTATTTATTATGTTTTATGCAGAACAAGAAAACAAAAGTTCACATATGTACCTTCTTCACGCCTAGAGCTCTGCGTACATTTTCATCGTTTGCCCAAAATGCAGACAGGAAATACTTATAAGTCTGGGAAGATGATGATAAGTGTAACAAATCACAATCTTTCAAACCCATGCATGAATATAGTAAATAATGAACAAGTAAAAGAGAATTGTTACAAAACAGCTAGGAGGTGGCAGTGATGATGAATCATTTCCTGAAAACTCCTTCAATTCTCGTCTACTACCGCTTCTGATGTTTGGTGAGTTTAGTGGAATGTCTCCTAAAACGTAATCAACTTTGCAGTTTGGTAACAAAATCTGCTCTATATATATCTCTGAGATACACTATAAACTCAAAAACAAAGAGACAAGTTAGTTTGTGAAAGTGCAACGAGATAATCTACTGATGGTGTGGTATATATTAATTAGTCTTTACCTGGTCATAATCTTGAAGATCATTTGAGCATTTTGCATTACTCGGGTCTACATTGAAGAATTTGCCTCCACAACTTCTTTCAAGTGACTACATGAGAAAGTAATTAGATATATATATATATATATATAATATGATGAGGAAAGATATTACCTCGAAGAGCTCATCTGAAATAAGCCCCATCCGATGAGCAAATGAAACTTTATGGTCTATCTCAAATTTTTTATCTGATGTAGGGTTTCCAAGAACGTATCCCTGCTCAAATTTAGGAGGGTATTAATCTCAACCAAATTATATATCGGTATTCAGCAAAAAGGAGAGAATATAATATCAGTACTTGAATATTTATGAGTGGTGTGAGTCCTTTCTCGTTTCCTGTTTTCATATTGTATATAAAGTGATTAAAATCTTTGAGCTAAAAGATACTGAAACTGCGAAAAAAGGCATTAGTGGTAACTTAAAATACCAAGTGAAATCTGTTGCACAACTCCGGGAACAATTTTCCCGGAATATGAATCTCCACCAACGTAAAATGGATTCGATATAAACTCAGGGTGATCCATAAACCACTACAAGTAAAAAACATAATGAAACGCTTCAAAAAAATAATACCAAATGAAGAAAATCATTAAAACAAAACAATAAATAGAAGGCAAGAAAAGAACACTAACATTCCTGAGGAATAGATCGATTTGGTGAATTTGTTTGGTGTCACTCGTCTCAAAAGCACGAGGAGTTCTCGCATAAGAATATCCAGAGCCAGCCGGAGATTCCAAATACAAAATGTTAGCCACCTGAAAAGATTTGAGTGTATATATTCAAAATGTTGTTATTAAAAAGAGAATAACAAAAACAAAATTGGTGTGATCTCTCACTTTTGTCCAAGAAAAAGATGTTAGCTCTAACGGAGGCACTGTCCCATTATACTCATCCCCTTTAAAAACTAAAGGACCTGATAAAATAAATAAATTAATTAAGCGTATATGCATTAATCAAGAAACATGCAATATAAACTTTCATGAAATCACACAACACATGCATCAATTAAACTATTTATTAGGACTAATTACAAATAAATAAATAAAAAAACAGGGGAATTTGTTTACCGTTTGCAAAGAGGAATCCACAAATAGAGCTGCATCCAGGCCCACCAGTGAGCCAAATCATGAGAGGATCTTTTTCTGGATTACTCTCTGATTTCACAAAGTAGTAAAAGAGCTCAACATCTTCAGATTCACCAACACTCACATATCTTGTTATGATCCACATGCAAAATAAGAAAGAGACTTGTTTGAAATTAAGGATTTTTAAAAAAGAAAAATTTCTGGTTTTTTGACGAATTAGAATAAAGAGATGGAATTCTAATTTTACCCAGTTTCCAGCTGAAAAGGAAGAGGACCATCAAAACCAGGAAGATATCTCACATGCAAAGAAGCATCAACCAAATGATAAATGGATGGGATACTCAATAGAAACAAGACAAGAAAGTGAAGCTTTCTCATTTTTCTCTGCTTCTTAGTGTTGATTAGAACAGGTTAATGCCTTAGGAATCTGTAAATCAACGAACATAAAACCCAGATGCGTTGAAAGAAGAAAGCTAGTTAAGTACGAGGATAAAACCAAATAGCAAATGAAGTAAAAGACAAATTAACAGACGCAGTTCTCAAAACGTGGCTATCGTTGACCTTATAAGCGTGTTAGCGCGCCTTTTTCAGTGTCTTATTGATCAGACCGGACCGGTTTATTTATTGTTAAAGTGGACCGGACCCGTTAACAGAGGAATTTTAGAGGTTTACCACCGAACCAAGTATCAGATCCATCAGAGAAAGTCAACGTAACTCTGTTTTTTGTTTTTTTATCCCTTTAACGGAACTCAGTTGATCTGTGTAATATAACTCAGTGTAATATCAGATCCCTCATGCTCTTTGAATTTTATTGGTTTTATTTTGAGAAATTTTTTTTTTTTTTTTGGTTTGAAAAACCAGACTCTTCTCGTGCAGCGCGATGCAAGACAATCCTCATAATGAAGAAAATCTTCTCTGTTTTCTATGATATATAAAAGAAAATGTTGGCTTTTTCTAAAAACCAAGTCTTTAGCTGCTTTAACTATTATGATTGATGAAGGGGAAGATAGTTGCCATTTCTTTGGATGACTCAAAAGCTCGATCTCTTGCGAATGATGTTGAGAAACATCTATAGTAGTAGAAACCAATCTATATACGTTCATATTACAACAAGATTTAGGCATCACATCGAGATTTTTTATATATGGATTAAACTGAAAGCAACACAAGTGACCAAGGGACATCTCCAAAGATATGGATTGAGAGGGACGTAATCACGTGGCAGAGTTATTGGAGAGACAAGTGAGTGACAATTTTCATTTTTCAGAGAGGTTCTCCATCAATCCATCTTTTGAACAAAAGTGAGGATTGCTCTGGATTATACTCCGCAGAATGTCCTCCTCCCTGCAAAACCACACAAATCAAACTCTCTCTATATCACCTTTTGTTCTTCCTTGGCAAAGAAGGCAAAGAAAGGGTTTAGAAATTATTGCCTTGATGGTTGCAAATGTCATCTTATTCGCGTAAGTCCTTGTATATCTGTCGAAGTGAGCAATATTTTAGAGTCTTATAAAAGAGGAAATAATAACAGTTTGATGAGATTGGAGTTTAGAAACAGTGTCTTCTCTGTTTACCCAGCGACTTGATTGGTACTCATCATCCAAGGTCTCCAATCATCAACAATGGAATAGTTGAGAGTTCTGATCCATGCTTCAGTTGAAGAAAATGGTATCACCATATCATGATCACCGCTGTTTCAATACTTACAAATAATGAGTTTGTGAGATAAATAAAGATATACAAAGAATAAAATAATTAATCTTGCCTGTAGAGGAGAGAGCGGAAGCCCTTAAGACTATTATTCACGTGATACGGAATGGCATTGTGAATATCATATGTATATGGTATGTTTTCGGTGTTGCATCGACTCCATTTTCCAAATTCCTGCGCAAGATCAACATTGAATTGGTGAGTTATTCTTGTGTTTATTATGTTTTATGTAGAAGAAGAAAAACCAAAAAAGGATCACATAGGTACCTTCTTCACGCCTAGAGCTCTGCGTACGTTTTCATCGTTTGCCCAAAACCCAGACAGAAAATACTTATAAGTCTGGCAAGATGATGATAAATGTAAGAAATCAGAATCTTTAAAACCTTTGAATATAGGAAATAACCAGAAAAGAAGAGAATTGTTACAAAGCAGCTAGGAGGTGGCAATGATGATGAATATTCATTTCCTGAAAACTCCTTCAGTTCTCGTCTTCTACCATTTATGATGTTTGGCAAGGTCGGTATCTTGCTTTGGAAGACGTGATCAACTTTGCAGTTTGGTAACAAAATCTGCGCTACGTATATCTTAGAGATACACTAAAAGCTCAAAAACAAAGAGTCAAGTTAGTCTGTGAGAATGCCATCAGATCATACTTAACTGTCTACTGATGGTGTAGTATATATTCGTCTTTACCTGACCATAACTTTGAAGATCATCTGAGCATTTTGCATTACTCGGGTCTACGTCAAACACTTTGCCTCCACAATTTCTTACAAGTGACTGCAAAAAGTAAAGTGGAAAAAATAGAGAAAATATGTAACTAAATGTCTCAAGAATCACATAACGATGAAGAAAGAGAGTACCTCAAAGAGCTCATCTGAAATAAGTCCCATCCGATGAGCAAATGAAACTTGATGATAAGATTCAATGCTTGGATACGTCACAGGGTTTCCAAGAACATATCCCTGCTCAAATTTGTAGGAAGGTATCAATGTTAATTAACAGAATTATCGGTATTCAATGGGAAAACAAAAAGAAGAAGAAGAAAGAGTAGACTATTAATACCTGAATATTAATGAGTGGGGTGAGACCTTTCTCATTTCCTGTTTTCATATTGTATATAATGTGGTTAAAAGTCTTTGATAAAACTGAGAAAAATAATCATAAGTGTGGTAGTTAAAATTACCAAATGAAATCTGTTGCGCAAGTCCTGGAACGATTATACCGGAATATGAATCTCCACCGACGTAAACTGGATTCGATGTGAACTCCGGGTGATCAACAAACCACTGCAAGCAATCAGTATAGAAACAATTGACAAAAAATAAATAAAACGCAAATGAAGAAAATCATCAAAAACTGCAACCACATCTTCAAAAAGAAAAATACTCAACACTCCTAAGGAATTGATCAATTTGGTGAGTTTGTTTAGTGTCACTCGACTCAGAAGCACGCAGGTTTCTCGCAAAAGAATATCCAGAGCCAGCAGGAGATTCCAAGTATAAAATGTTAGCCACCTGAAAAAAAAAAGAATATGAGTGGTATATAGAAATTCAGATGTTGTTAAATAAGGAAAATAATGTGTAGTCTCTCACCTTTGTCCATGAAAAAGATGCTAGCTCTAAAGGAGGCACTGTCCCATTATACTCATCCCCTTTAAAAACTAAAGGACCTGATAAAATAAATTAAGCATGCATTAATCTAAATTTAATGGAATCACACAACTTAAACATCAATGAAACTGTTTCTTAAAGACTAATTTCACTACACATAAATCCAAAAATGAAGAAGAGATTTATTTACCGTTTGCAAAGAGGAATCCACAAATAGAGCTGCATCCAGGCCCACCAGTGAGCCAAATCATGAGAGGATCTGTTTTTGGATTTCTCTCAGATTTCACAAAGTAGTAAAAGAGCTCAACATCTTCAGATTCACCAACACTCACATATCTTGTTACATGCAAAAGAAGAAAGAGACATGTTTGATATTAAGGATTTTTTTTTAAAGACAAATTGGAATACAGAGATGGAGTTCTTTTACCCAGTCTCGAGCTGAAAAGGAAGAGGACCATCAAAACCAGGAAGATACTTCACATGCAAAGAAGCATCAACCAAATGATGAATGGATAAAATACTCGATAGAAACAAGACGAGAAAGTAAAGCTTTCTCATTTTCTCTGCTTCTTAGTGTCGATTAGAACAGACCAAAAAAATGCACTTCGAATCTGTAGGTAGGTCAACGAGTCTTGAGCCTAAATGCGAAGAAAGAAGAAAGAGAAAACAAGAATAAGAAGAAAGCAAGTTAAGTACGAGGATAAAACCAAAACCAAACAGAGAAACTAACTAACGCAGTGTTAAAAACGTGTCCCTCGTTTACCTAGTAAGCGTGTTTGCGCCTTTTTGCAGTGATTTGTTAACTGGACCGGATTATACCGGACCAGACCAACCGGTTGAATAGAGGAGCTCTTAAGGCTCTCCACCATGAAACCAAGTACACAGATCAGTCAACGTAACTCTTGTCGTGCAACGCGATACAAGACAATCCTTATAATGAAAAGAATCTTCTCACCCAAAAAAAGATAGGTCCGGGGAAGATAGTTTGACATTTCTTTAGATGACCCAAAAACGCGATACTGAAACTAATCATATACGTTCATAGTACAACAACAGTTACAAAATATTGAGGAATCACATCAAGATTTTATGGATTAAAATGAAAGCAACATAAGTGAGGAAGGGATATCTCCAAAGATATGGATCGTGACTTGAGAGGGACGCAATCTCGTGGCAGAGTTATTGGAGAGACAAGTGAGCGACAATCTCCAGTTTTCAGAGAGGTTCTCCATCAATCCATCTTTTGAACAAAAGTGAGGACTGGGCTGGGTTATAATCCGCAGAATGTCCTCCTCCCTGCAAAAACCACACAAATCAAACTCTCTCTGTATCACTTTTTGTTCTTCCTTGGCGTAGAAGGCAAAGAAAGGGTTTAGAAATTTTTGCCTTGATGGTTGCAAATGTCATCTTATTCGCGTAAGTCCTTGTATATCTGTCAAAGTCAATAATATTTTAGAGTCTTTTAAATATGATGTAGGAGTTATCTACAAACAATGGTTTTTATTTCTGTTTGCTTACCCACCGACTTGATTGGTACTCATCATCCAAGGTCTCCAGTCATCAACGATGGAATAGTTGAGAGATTTGATCCATGCTTCAGTTGAAGAGAAAGGTACCATCATATCATGATCACCACTGTTCCAAAACTTCCAAATTTTTGAGTTTGTGACTTAATCAAGATGTACAAAGAATGCCATTACCATTTCAAAAAAGAAAAAAAAAATGTCTCTCAAAAATAAAACAATGATATATCAAGAAATAATAAACTTGCCTGTAGATGAGAGAGCGGAAGCCTTTTCGACTATTATTCACATGATACGGAATGGCATTGTTAATGTCATATGTATATGGTATGTTTTCGGTGTTGCATCGACTCCATTTTCCGAATCCCTGCATAAGATTAACATTGAGTTGGTGAATCTTTCTTGTGTTTATTATGTTTTATGCAGAACAAGAACGAAAAAAGGTTCACTTAAGTACCTTCTTCACGCCTAGAGCTCTGCGTACATTTTCATCGTTTGCCCAAAATGCAGACAGGAAATACTTATAAGTCTGGGAAGATGATGATAAGTGTAACAAATCACAATCTTTCAAACCCATGCATGAATATAGTAAATAATGAACAAGTAAAAGAGAATTGTTACAAAGCAGCTAGGAGGTGGCAGTGATGATGAATCATTTCCTGAAAACTCCTTCAATTCTCGTCTACTACCGCTTCTGATGTTTGGTAAGGTAGGTACTCTGCTTGGTAAGACATGATCATCTTTGCATTTTGGTAACAAAATCTGTTGTACGCATATCTCAGAGATACACTACAAACTTACAAAGAGACAAGTTAGTCTTTGAGAATGCCATCAGATCATACTACATATATTGATGGTGTGGTACCTGATCATAAGTTTGAAGATTATTTGAGCATTTTATATTACCCGGGTCTACGTCGAAAAATTTGCCTCCACAACTTCTTTCAAGTGACTACAGAAAGTAAGTAGAAATAACAGAAAAAGATGTAACCAACACAGTCTCATGAATCACATGACGATGGAGAAAGAAAGTACCTCAAAGAGCTCATCTGAAATAAGTCCCATCCGATGAGCAAATGAAACTCTATGATTAGATTCAATGTTTGAATATGTCACAGGGTTTCCAAGAATATATCCCTGCTCAATTTGTAGGAAGGTATCAATGTCAACCGAATTATTGGTATTCAACAACAACAAACAAACAAAAAATATACAATAGACTATTAATACCTGAATATTAATGTGTGGTGTGAGACCATTCTCATTTCCTATATTCATATTGTAGAATGTGATTAAAAATATTTGATCTAAAAAATACCAAAACTGAGAAATAAAATTAAAAATACCAAGTGAAATCTGTTGCACAACTCCTGGAACGACTCTTCCGGAATATGAATCTCCACCGACGTAAAATGGATTCGATATGAACTCCGGGTGATCCACAAACCACTGCAAGTAATCAGTATAAAATCGCTTGACAAAAAAAACATAAACCAGTTACGAAGAAAATACTCAAAAACTGCAACAAAAGCTAGAAAAAACACTCAACACTCCTAAGGAATTGATCAACTTGGTGAGTTTGTTTTGTGTCACTCGACTCAATAGCACGTGGAGTTCTCGCAAACGAATATCCAGAGCCAGCAGGAGATTCCAAATACAAAATGTTAGCCACCTGAAAAGAATTGAGTGTATATATATTTTTTATTCAAAATGTTGTTATTACAAAGAAAATAACAAAAAAAAATATTGGTGTGATCTCTCACCTTTGTCCATGAAAAAGATGTTAGTTGTAAAGGAGGCACTGTCCCATTATACTCATCCCCTTTAAAAACTAAAGGACCTGACAAAAAAATATATAAAAAGCATGCATCAATCAAACGGTAAAACTAAATTTACACATAAATCCATTAATACATGCATCAATCAAACAGCAAAAATGAAGAAGAGATTCTTCTTTTTTACCGTTTGCAAGGAGTAATCCACAAATAGAGCTGCATCCAGGCCCACCAGTGAGCCAAATCATGAGAGGATCTGTTTCTGGATTTCTCTCTGATTTCACAAAGAAGTAAAAGAGCTCAACATCTCCAGATTCACCCATACTCACGTACCTTGTTATAATCCACATGCAAAAGAAGAAAGAGACATGCATGTGTTTAAAATTAAGAATTTTACTAAAAAGAAAATTTTCTGGTTTTGACGAATGAGAATAAAGAGATGAAATTCTTTTACCCAGTCTCGAGCTGAAAAGGAAGAGGACCATCAAAACCAGGAAGATACTTCACATGCAAAGATGCATCAACCAAATGATAAATGGATGAGATACTCAATAGAAACAAGACAAGAAAGTGAAGCTTTCTCATTTTTCTCTACTTCTTAGTGTTGATTAGAACAGGAAAAAAAAAAAAGCGTTACGAATTTGTAGGTCAACGAATAGAAGAAAAGACTGACTATTAAGCCCGAAAAGAGGAGAAGAAAAGACTGACTAACAAAGGCAGTTGTCAAAGCGTGGCTATGGTTTACATGATAAGCGTGTTAGCGCCTATTTCATCGTTTTCTTTTAACCAAACCGGACTGTGACCGGTTGGATAGATGAACTCTAAAGGTCAACCACCAAACCAAGTATCAGATGACCAGGAAAGAAAACATAACTCAATCGATCTGTAAATCTTATATCCATTGACCATTAGTCCATTACCTAAGGGTTTATTAAAAAGAGGGTATTTTTGCAAAACACTAAAGATATTGTGGATAAAGTCAGATTTTTATATTCTACACCTACCAAACGCCTCTTTTTCCTATTTGTGCGTGATAATGCTTAGCATTGAAAAAGTGATCCCATGTTGTAAGGAACCCATCTTAACAATCTCGATGGAAGGTTTAAGGATTCCGGCGAATTTCTCGTTTTCGTTTTCTTCTTCTTTCGATGGGTTTTGCTTCGCCTCTGTGAAAACTCCGAAGCCGAGATCGAAGAACTTTCACTCGCCTTTCCGGTACTGCACGTCTTGCCAATTCCTCTAATATCAGTATATCACCGATTGATTCCTTCTTTAGATTTAAAAATCGCAAATTTGCAATATTGATGCAAAATTTCAAAATCGCGTGTATGGTGTAGTTTTAAAAATCACGTCTTGCGTAACCATTGCTTTTGGTTCTTCTATTCTGGGTTTAGTTCTGTGGATTTTTCGGGTTTTCATGAACTTCATAGAATTAGAGCATATTTGATGAAAGGTCAATCGCGTGATGTTCTTTGAGTAAAGGCTTTTCCTTTTTGGATGAGAAACTGATTTTCTATTTGGTTGTGTTCTTCTTTTCCAATGTTTTTGATAAAATACCAATTTCCTGTTGCAGGTTAATCAGAAGAAAATGTCTCTGATTGGTACAGTGAAAGATGCATTTGACACCGTTACTAAAAGACAAAAGCTTTATCACTCAGTTTCCCAAGTTGTCGCCGATCGAGTTTGTGAAGGAGTCGTAGAGACATTGATTCGGATCCTCTTAAATAACAACGATGGATTAGTAGAGCCCCAATCGTTTTTTAACGAGCTGAGGCTTAAGCTTGATTCTCTTTCACCAGTTATCCAGCTCCAAGGATCACAAAAGGAAACCAACACGAGCCTTGGCAAATTTGAGAAAGTTCTTGACAAATCTCACCATCCTGATATATCCCGAGCCTGCAAGAGCATTGATTTCGATACTCACCTTATGAATAAGATGCTTGTCCACTATTTTTACCGACAAGGCTTGTTCCAAGTTGGAGATTGTCTTGTCAAGGAGGCTGGAGTAGAGGTAGAGGCAGACGCTAGATCTCAGTATCTAGAAATCCACCGTTTAACGGAGTCATTGAAACTCGGGAACATTGAGCCTGCAATGAGATGGATCTCTGCAAACCGAGAAAAGCTGAAGCAGAAAGGTTCAGAGCTGGAGCTGAAACTCACAAGTTTGAAGTACTGTGAGATGTTAAGAGAAGGAAATAGTGATGATGCCTTGAAGTACGCAAGAACCCATTTTCCTCAATTTGCAGGGATGGTTTCTTCAGTATGTTGGGACAAGATGGCCAAAGAGCTAACCAAACAGTATTACCATCTCCTTGATCAGCCATCTAATTCTCCGTTGGGAGTCGCGTTATCCGCGGGTTTAGAGAGCTTGCCGACACTTTTGAAGATGATTCATGTGATGGGTTTGAAGAAAGAAGAATGGGAAGCGATGAAAGAGGTTCCAGTAGATCTGAAGTTAGGGGATGAGTTTCAGTTCCACTCGGTTTTTGTGTGTCCGGTGAGTAGAGAGCAGAGCAGTGAAGAAAACCCGCCAATGATGATGCCTTGTCGTCATGTTCTTTGCAAGCAATCAATCATGAGACTCACCAATAACTGCCGTTCTCGCAGGTTCAAATGCCCTTATTGTCCTGCACAGACTTCAGCTGCAGCATGCAGACGATTATACTTTTGAAACATTATTTTGGTGATTTTGCTCAGACTCAAAAAGAGTACTTTTTCTTGTTTCACTAGCTCAATAAATTAGATGTGAACAAAGATATTTCTTTTGCTCGTTCTCCATAGAAAACTTTCTTTTTTCTATAGTCTCTAGTGAAACTCTTTGACAAGAGCTGGATTGTGAATCTTGGGAGCTAAGTTAAAGCAATAATCTAGTAATATGTTGCAGTTAGTTATTTGAGTCATTTTTTTGTTTGTTTGTTCTTCTCTCTTGAATCGGAGAAGATACCAAAAGAAGAGACTGGTTGGGATTGTTTATGTGAGAATCTGTGATTTTTATTTTCTTAATAATAAATTGAGAGTTGGAATGGAAAGTCTTGATGCAAAGATCACGTGAATTCTCTTGCTATACTTTGGGTGGCTTTCAGAAAAAGCATACTAATAGATATATCCAGACATTATCATTGGGACCAAGGAAGAAGAAAGAGCAACGCCTTTGTTTAATTAATTCATAGTCATTGTCAAAAATCATGGCTTCAATGTAATCAAACACGCAATTTAAACACTAAATAAGGTGCCGCAAAAGTCCATCTAATCCATGACTTTTTGCTACCCTCACAGCCCCGTCACTCATTCTTATCACCTTCAACCCATACGTAACTTCCACGTGTAATAATCCACTGAGTTCACGCCAAAACAGCCTGTCACGCTAGCATCTCCAAAACCACCACCGTTTTTTCGCCATGATAAAATATCTTTACTACTAGTCCTCTCCATTTCTTCTACTCAACAAACCACTCGAGAGTTTCTTATTTTCATGGATTGAGCAAAACAAGTAGAAAGAGAAGAGGAAGATAACTTCAAAAGCTCGCGCAATGGACAAATTCTCGTACAACTCGTATCCAGACTCGGCTGAATCGTCGCCTAGATCTCGCGAGGTCGACTTTGACAACCCACCGCCATGGGAGGACCAGCAGCAACAGACACATAGCTACAAGGTGAGGTTCATGTGCAGCTATGGCGGCAAGATCCAGCCGCGTCCACACGATAACCAGCTTACCTATGTAAACGGCGATACCAAAATCATGTCCGTCGATCGCGCCATCAGATTTCCCGCTTTGGTTTCGAAGCTCTCCGCCATCTGCGGCGGCGGCGGAGATGCCGGCGAAATCTCGTTCAAGTATCAGCTTCCAGGTGAAGATCTCGATGCGTTGATCTCGGTGACTAACGATGACGACCTCGAGCACATGATGCACGAGTACGACCGGTTGCTTCGTATGTTCTCTAAACCAGCCAGGATGCGTCTGTTCCTCTTCCCGTCTTCTCCGATTTCCGGCGGATTTGGCTCCGAAGGTTCGACCAAATCCGAACGGGAGACGATAAATCCAATCCATAGCCGACCTGAATCAGAGAAATCCGTAGCCGCTCCTCCCAATAATGCCGATTTCTTGTTTGGATCGGAGAAAGTAGCTCCAGCTCCGCCTCCTCCATCAGCCGCCGTGATGGTGCCTCCTCAACAGATTCAGGACCCGGTGGCTCTTGAACCTCCGATGTTCGCAAATCAACAAGTGATACAACCGGAACACGGAATAAATCCGGCGGAGATTCAGAGACAAATCCATGAATTTCAGATGATTCAAATCAGAGATCAAGAGCAACAACAGCAACAGATGCAACATCAACATCAGCTCCAACAACAACAACAACAACAACAACAACAACAACAACAACAACAAGATGCTATGTATAGAAGAAAGAGCGAAGAAATGGAAGCAGGACGATACTTCAGCCCAACATACGCTCAAAATCCGGCGGCGACAACAGTATCTCAGACGAATCCACAACCTCCGGTTGGGTACTGGCAAGGAAATAGCAACATCCCAGGGAACAACATCTACACAACAACGTCACCGAATCTACCGGAGCAGCAGGTATACATGATTCCAGCTCAATCCCAAGCTCCTGGAGCATTATACCATAGCGTGATGAGACCATCGGCACAAGGAAACCAAGGCTATTACCCATCTGTTCAGCGAATCAATCATCCCGATGCATACATGGAGCAGCAGAACCAGCAAGGCTACAACGTGGTTCAACCACAGCCACCGTATTCAGGTGGTCCACAAGTTATGACTAGCGGTGGGCCAATGGGTTTACAGGAAACGACGCCGTATTCACAGATGGGGAATCCTGTCTACTATACTGTGGCTGGTGAAGGCATGATGGTGCAGCCGCAACAGCAACCGGCTCAGCCTCAGCCGCAGTACCAGGGAATGGGTCAACCGGTTAGTGGCATGACCGATCTGAGAACCGGACCGGATGGGAAAGTGGTGGTTAACACGGCACCAAAAGTGTCGCAAAGTTCAGATTTGGTGTGAGTGTGGGATGTTGAGGTAAGTCTTATATGATCAGTTTCTTATTTGGTATCCATTTATTAATACTTGATCATATCTGTAAAAGTGTTTATTTAGATCAAATTGGAATCTGCATTTCTGATAAACTTTTGATGTTCTTGATTTTGGATTAACTCTATTTAGACCTCTGTTTTAATTTCTATTATAATATGCTTTGGAACTATTGGTCTCCTCGTCTCTTGTCCATCCATTGGGGTGATATTAAGCTTCTAGCTTTTGTGCTTTTAATCTCTTTGTTTTCGATTTTGTTCTGAATAAACAATTTTTAATAAAATAAGTAGACGGCTAAGATTTGTTTTTTCGTGGGCTTGTTAAGTCCTAATTCATTGATTGATATGTAATTTTAACTTCACTCAAATTGAAACAAAATTTGAGAATTAGTTAAGCTGAGGTTTGAGGTTGATATAATTGCTAGTCCATTTGATTTACTTTATTTATTAAGAATATAAATCGATTTCAATCATATTCATTGCATTGTTTGAAGTGGACCTAAACATAATTTAAATAGTATGGACATGTGTTGTGTGTGAAAAAAGGTGTTAGGTCAGAGAAAACTCACTCTCACACTAACTAACTAATCCACAGAACCCATTCTTCCTATTGTCTTATCAATCAATTTTTATTTCACTATAAGCGACACTCATTTTGTTGCCATCATGTAAAGTCTTTGTCCTTATTATTTTGTTGCCAAATTGATTACATGTCTCACTCCAGAAACAGGTGTCTATGTAAAACCTATCTTGTCTATGTCAATGGAATTCAAATTGACTTTGTCATTCCCCTTGCTTACAAATTTTTCTTATCAATTTTATTTTTGGTGTCTTGACATTTATGGACGTCGATCAGATTGGCCCTGTTCAGGTATTTTTTTGCTAATATACTCTATCCAAAATTTTGCATGGTTAAAAGAAGGAATCGAAGAACAAGCAAGAAAACTTATTTAGCCCAAAAGCACACTGGCCCATAATTTTGACCCAGCATTGTTTTGAAAACCGGTGAAAAAGGGTTCGAGATTTCTTGGGTGGCAAGAAAAGAGGGTATGTGAAGACTGTTTGCCTCTTGTTATTATTTTTTTCTTTTTCTTTTCAAAATCATAAAAAGTTAATAACTCCACGAAGTAATTTTGGCTGGTGGCAAGTAAATAGGAGTTAATAATTCCGTGAAGCCGTAACATAAATAAATAACTAAAAATTCCAATAAGCAAAAAACCGGAATACAACTACGATCTGAGAAAACCAACTTAAAAACAACAGAAATAACCTTCGATACAAAAAAATCCCACTAAGCAAAAAACCGGAATACAACTACGATCGAATAGGCAATGAAAAAACAAGAGAAACCCAACCTAAAAACAACAAAGAAATAACCCTCGATACAAAAAATCCCAATAAGCAAAAAAACTGGAATACAACTATGATCGAGTAGACACAATGAAAAAACAAGAGAAAACCAACCTAAAAAAAAAAAAAAAAAACCTTCAATACAAAAGATCCAGCAGATCATCTGGAAACTTAGGAATAAATGCCTCAATTTCTTCTTCAATCACTCTCAGTGTGTTCCTCCCATACCCAAACTTCATCTCCGCAAAGTGAGGTCGTAGCTTCTCCACAAACTCTCTCAGCATTGCTTTCTTTCCTCTCTGCTTCATCACTCTCAACGCACACTGTGCCACATAATTCCCAAACTTATCTTTCGCCATTCTCACCCATTCTTTATCGTTCTTTCTAAACTCCTCCAACACTTTCTCCCTCCCAAACTCCGATTTCAGACACTTCTCCACCACGTAGCTTCCTTCTTTCTCCTTGGCTAACTTGAAGAAATTTCCATAAAGAGTCTCGGCGATTGCTTGTGTTGCACGCGGGTTCTGAAGCGTCAGAAATTCCTGCACCACGTAAGTTCCGTAAGGATGAAGAGCTAAGCAGTCCGCTAACCGCGCGATTTTGTTGAAGATTAGGTCTCTGAATCGGCCTTTAATCTCTTGAAACACCGCGTTTAGGGCAACACATCCGGTTTCTTCTACCGCAAGTGAGAGAGTGTTTTGAAACGTGAGCTTGTAGAGCATCTCTTTCCTGGGTTCATCGACGGCTCGTATAGTGGGGACGATCAAGTAACGACCGAACTTATCGTTCATGAGCCACATGAAGTTTTCGCAGACGGCTTCGAATATGATTGCGTCCAAGCGAGAGCTGCGTCTAAGTAGGGCTCGTAAAGCGTGTGAGCCGTTTTGGTTTCTTGCCAAATCGAAAAAGATGGAGTTGGTTGTGGTTATCATTGAACCGATATGTAACAAGCATCTCTCCCTCTTAACCGTTTGATAGGTGTCGATTGTTTCGAGGTACCTTGGGAACTTAGAGTCGCGTGTTGGACACGTCATCATGTTCAACAGTAGATATAACATCTCTTGATCACGAAGGATTTCGGACCTCAAACAACTCTGAGGATAAGCCGAGTGACGTTGGCCGGAATAGGTGGAGGAAGAAGCATGTGGTTGGGTGATCCACGACAAAGGAGGGGGCGGAGGAGGAGCTCTGAAGCCAGCGGCTTGAGGGAGACGACGAGAAGCTCCTAGAGAAACCTGATCAAGGTTATATTGAATGTTGAGATTGTGGTTTTTGTTTCTGTTGATCATGTAGTTGGATTCTCTTGGTTTGTTGATCATGTGGCTGGATTCTTCTAGTTCGTTGTTATTGTTGTTGCTCTGGAGAAAAAGCTTCTGGAAAGCGCTGAACATAGAGCTAGTATCGTTCGGTATAGGGTATTCTCCATCATCATCATCGTCCGACATAGGGCCTTTACCGTTCGACATGCTGATGAAGATCTAGCTAGAGAGCAAGAGCGTACATAAAAAGAGATTTTGTTTGCCAACGGGTTTGAGAGTGTATCTCTCTTATTTATATATACAGAGAAGAGCGAGAGATTGTTTTTCGACTTGGATTAGGAATCTCCAGTGTTGATAGAGATGTATGCGCTCCTAAATGACTTGGGATTTGGAGTTGTTTTCTCATGCAAGGATTTGAATTGGAATATGGATTGTATCTACTGTATCTGATTCAGTTTGAAAAAAATAATCGTTTGGTTTGGTTCGAATAAGGTTCGGTTTTGACTAGTTCTGGGAGAAAATCTATGTATAAATCAAAATGTAGTTAAAATTAAGAAATATTTATTTATTTTAATGTTGGATAATGTAACTTTCAGATAAAATTTAATCTACTAAAAAGTTTGGCTTTTGAGATAATTTCATCTTTTTTCTTTGGTAAATCATATATTACATCAAATCAATGTAAATCTAACTAGTTCTTGGAGAAAATCTAAATCTAAACCAAAAATTAGTTAAATTAAATATAAAAAAAATATTTTAATGTTGGATAACTTAACTTTCAGATAAAACTTAATAATTTGCTAAAAATTTGGCTTTTTCGATAATTTTGAGATAATTTCAAATTTTTTTTGGTAAATCATTTATTACATCAAACCACTGTAAGGTCTGAGAACAAAGGAAAAGCAAACAAACATAGCCTTTAAAGACCTAAAATCCCAAAACAAAAGTTTCTTCTCTCTTTATTAATCTTGTTCATCTCAAGGAAACTCTTACTGACGACTTTGGCGGCTTAACCAAAACGTTATTCATCGAAAGAGCGTTGGGAAAAGGTTTTTAATGGGTCAAGAGCGAGTGAGTACTCTTGATAGTATGGTAAAGCGCGGCCAATGCAGTAACCGAGGTGATGACCGGAAGTTGCTGCTGCACATGGAAAATAACTTGGTAGAAACTCGGGTAGGTGAGGCAAATCATACCCATTTTCAGGTAGAGAAGATAGCCGCCGAAAAAGACTCCGGTCAAGTAAACCCCCGAGATTCTGTTGAAAATCGATAACATGGAGTTCATCTGAGGCTGGTAAACAGGGAGGTGAGGAGATAAAGGACGAAAGCTCTGAACTTTTGGAGAATTCTGTTCCTCCTGTGTCGTCTTTATATCCCCTGAGATTGTAGAGAACATGTGTTTCGATGTTCCCACACCAAGAGCTCGGAAAGATTGAATCATAGCTTTTGAATGCTAGATCATTTGAGACAAAAATCACCAGACAAAAGCATAAGTTTAGCTGTTCAGTTACATTAAAAAGGAAGAATTAAAACACACAACATGTAGAGAAAGTCATCTTACCTCTCTCTCCTCTCTAATGGCATTGCTTGTGTTAGTGGTGCCCAAACCAGTACCAAGAATGTCATTCAGAACAGGTTTCGACCTATAGAAAACAGACACATTGTCAAATATAAATCTACCCAGTGGTTATAAAGGTATCAGCAACACAAGGAACAAAGGAAACCTACCCGAAAGCTCTACACAAACTTGCATAGTTCTGACCAGTGTATGAGCTACCCCATGAAGGTTGAGCATTACCAGCAAGCTGCAAACAAGAACGTTTCGAGAGCGGTTAAGAAAAACACTTTCTCTATCCATATCAAATTAAGCAGAATAACCATGTTTTCTGATTCTAATAAGGTGTCCAAACGAAACAGTAACATGGTGCTAGCTATAACTCCCTTCTTCTTCATCCCAATACTTTTGCACCATATTAAACTGCAAGCTTTCTCAATTCACCAGAAGCGCACATTCCAGAAATTGTGTGTCTTAAAGATTATTCCGAGAAATTTTCATTTCTGCTCCAAAAGGGGCTATAGACATTTGTATCTACTTGCATAATCTCATGTTCTCAAGTTTTCTAAGAAAAAAAAAGACCAAACACAAAATACATCAAAATCTACAAAATCAAACATAATCCGTTTCATTCCCTGACTACGTCCCGCGAAACGAAGCATAACCTGAGATGAAACCTCGAAGAAGAAGAAGAGACGAAACCAAACGAATCCCAATTTTTCTCGATCAATCAACTACTTCACTAAAAAGACGCAATCAACGAATGAAAAACCTACAGATTTGTAGACGGAAAGAGGTGCGGACACGACGTCGCGTCGGCGAATCGATCGGAGAAGAGCCGTGGCAGCCATCGACTGAATCAGATCAGTATCTCTGCTATCTTCGACGAATTTAGCTCGAAAAGTCCCAACAAATGAAATGGGATCTCGATTAAATCAACCCTAATTAACAAAACAAAAACAAACTGGAGGGTACTTTCGTAAATTACAAAGTTATCCGCACGTTTCACAAGAAACCTCTGTTTCGCTGAGGAGGTCTGATCATCATACTCTTCTGAGTTCGGTTTACGTAATTTGGTGGTATTAAGTGATAAATTTTGAAACTTTTCTCATAAACCAAACACATCACATAACAAAAGGTTTCTTAGCAGAGAAACATTAAGTTTCGTTTACTACAAGAAGCTTATTCCAGAAACATATCCATTGCTCGCTCTTCTAAAGGCAAAAGTTCCTTGGACATGGAAGCCAACCATGATCTAACCTAATCTCTTAACCCAACTGACAAGAATTTACGTAGTCTCTTCACTTCTTCACCTCCTCGTACTCTGCCTCCGGAGCCTCATCACTGCCTTTCTGAGCTCCTCCTCCTGGTGCAGAACCGCCACCAGAACCACCATTGGACATGTGCTCTCCGATCTTCGAAACAGCTTTGTTTGCCGCATCGATCTTAGCCTTAATCTCATTGAGATCATCTCCAGACGTTGCGCTCCTTAGATCTGACACAGCATCTTCGATCTCCTTGGCGACTTCACTCGGGATCTTCTCTCTGTATTCACCAAGACTCTTCTCTATGCTGTAAATGGTTGTGTCGGCTGTGTTCTTGGTGTCGATCAAGTCTTTTCTTTCTTTGTCTTTCTGAGCATGCAACTCTGCTTCTCTCACCATCTTCTGGATATCATCCTCTGAGAGCCCACCGGAGGAACGGATTGTGATCTGTTGTTCTTTACCAGTTGTCTTGTCCTTGGCGGAAACAGTGACAATACCATTGGCATCAATGTCGAATGTTACTTCGATCTGAGGGATTCCTCTTGGTGATGGTGGAATGCCCACTAGATCGAATTCTCCCAACAGCTTGTTGTCTGTTGCCATTTCACGCTCACCTTGAAGCACTCTGATCCCAACTTGTGTCTGATTGTCGGCTGCAGTTGAGAACACCTTCAAAAGAAAGAACAAGACACAGAGAATCAACATTTTCGTATAAACTTGATCAAAACAAGGTTTGCTTTGGATTACGATGGGATCATCAATTAGCATTTCAGAGGACTAATTTTTTACCCTTAGCTTATAAGAGTGTAACTGCCATGCGGAGCAACTCGAGCATGCCTAGCTAAGTAACTATAAATCAAACTCTAATAGGGGCCCCATTCTACCCTAGGATATCGTACTCTTATGTGACAATCAGAATTCCTCTTTCCTAGTTACGCGATCAAAGTGAAACATCTTTGCATGCATACCTGACTCTTCTTTGTGGGGATGGTTGTGTTTCGGCTAATCAGTCTTGTAAAGACACCACCAAGTGTTTCAATACCGAGAGATAGAGGTGTGACATCTAGAAGTAACAATTCTTTGACATCACCGCGGAGGATACCACCTTGAAGTGCAGCTCCCATAGCAACGGCCTCATCAGGATTGACACCTTTGCTAGGAGTCTTTCCAAATATCTCTGAGACAACAGACTGTACCTTGGGAACACGGGTCATCCCTCCAACTAGAAGAACCTCATCAACTTCCTTAGCACTTATACCAGCATCCTTGAGACAGTTCTTGCAAGGATCGCGGGTCCTCTCAATCAAGTGATTCACCAGAGTTTCAAACCTTGACCGTGTTAGGGTGATGTTGAAATGCTTTGCCCCAGACGCATCAGCTGTGATAAATGGCAGATTAATTTCAGTTTGAGAAGTTGATGATAGTTCAATCTTAGCTTTCTCAGCGGCCTCTCGAAGCCTCTGCAGAGCAAGCCTGTCTTTGGCAAGGTCTATTCCTTCAGTTGTCTTGAATTCATTCACCAAGAAGTCTAGCAGAGCATTGTCGAAATCCTCTCCTCCCAAGAAGGTATCCCCATTAGTGGCTTTTACCTGAGAAAAGTAATTTACTAATAAGACAGATCCTCAAACAAAAGGCAACAAAAGACTTGATAAACATAAATCACTTTGTGAGATAAATACCTCGAAAACCCCATTAGAAATCTCCAAAACAGATATATCGAATGTGCCACCGCCAAGATCAAACACAGCAATCAAACCCTCCTTGTTGGTCATTCCATAGGAAAGAGCAGCAGCCGTCGGTTCGTTTATAATTCTCTCAACATCAAGACCAGCAATTCTACCAGCATCTTTGGTTGCTTGCCTCTGAGCATCATTGAAGTAGGCAGGAACAGTGACAACAGCTTTCTTCACCGATTTCCCAAGGTAAGCTTCGGCTGTCTCTTTCATCTTTGTCAACACAAATGCTCCAACCTGACTAGGAGAATACTGCTGACCATTGGCTTCAACCCATGCATCGCCGTTAGGTGCACGAACAATCTTGTAAGGCACCATCTTCATTTCTTTCTGTGTTTGCGGGTCGTCGAATTTTCTCCCAATCAAACGTTTTGTTCCAAATACTGTGTTTGTTGGATTAGTGACGGCTTGTCGCTTTGCTGGTGTACCCACAAGAAGTTCTCCTTTCGGGTTGAAAGCAACAACTGATGGCGTGGTTCGAGCACCTTCAGCATTTTCAATGACTTTCGGATTCTACAAAATCAGATAAGAAAATGAAAGTTAGCTCAAAAGTTTAGAAGCTCAGAAATTAGAAACCTTGTAATCGCAATCTCACCTTCCCTTCCATGACTGCAACACAGGAATTAGTAGTACCCAAGTCAATACCGATGACATCATTCCCAGCAGGCTTGGAGCTTAATCAAGCAAAAGAAAACTTTAGAACATAAACATAGGCAAGATCTCGATGATATTAAATATAGATGGAAAGATCAATACCTAAACGCTCTTGAAAAGCTTCTCCAATTCTGACCAAGATAAGAACCATTGAATGATATTTTCCCGCTGCTCGATAGCTGAAACAAACGAAATTCACCAGATCAGTCCGAGAGAATTTGACCAACATCATTTCCCAGGATTGCAAGAAGTGAGCCATAACAAATGAGCAATCCGGATCACGTAATTAGCTCACTTCGAAACAACAATTTCGTCTACAGATCGCGTAAGGATAGAAGACTTACGCATTTGTAAGCTGAGAAAGGAGTGGAAGCGACTTCACGGCGTCGAATCGAACGGAGGAGAGCGGCGGTAGCCATGGTTTGAAATTCAGGAGGCGATAGATCAGTTAGGAAGATGCCAAATGATGCGGATAAAATCGGGAACGTGTACTAAGAGGGTTTAGGGTTTTTGAAGGTACGAAAGTTGTTTTTTTAAGGAGAGATTTCTAGAGAAAGAGCGAAGGTTCTAGGCGGTGATACTTCTCGACGTCGACGATGATGAAATGCTCATCTAAACATACACAAAGCTTCCTAAGAAACGACGTCGTTCGAAAGCTCGAAGCGTGAATCTAGATCATGTAAACGGAGGTGCTGTTGCCACGTGGAAGTTCAATCGTTACTCTGGAATTGGTACTTAAAAACATTTTCCGGAAAATAGGAGGATCGATAAAAAAAAATGTTTTATATAAAGAAGCGTACATTTATAGTTCTTCAGATATTTTGTCATGGGCCGTTCAATCACACCGCCCAACAAAGAAAACAAAACCGTAATCATACCAAAAATTAAACCGAAATGCAAAGCCGGTTTAGGCTACCTTTACCGCGAACAAAACCGACTCAAAGTTCTTTTCCCTTTATCAGCCCTTTGTGATCCACCACCAAAACTTGTCACTGCATATTGACTTTAGAGTCTTGATTAATGTCTTCCACAATGCCACAGTTTTCAGACAAATGAGCTTTAAGGTTGCTGAGGAGTGTTCTCATGTTGGATTCTTCGCAATCCATTGATTATATTCATCCATTCTTATGATGAAGGAGCTTGAACTAGAAGTTCCACCTCCTCCATAAGCCTTTTCCAAATATATTAAAAAAATAACATACATTATAAGTCTTATAGATCACTGAAACAAAAACAAAAAATTACAGTCAGATTTGGAGACAAACAAACCTTAGCAACTTCAGATGTGTCGGTTATATCGTCGGTACTTCTCAAGCACATTTTGAGATTATTCCGTTGCATGAATGTAACAGCTCCTATTGGCCTAATTTCAAAAGAGATATTACTAACTTGCTAACTCTAGCCACAATTTTGCATAACATCATAAGGCAAATTTTTAAAATTTACCTCAAACCAGCTGCAGCACTTTGTAGACTAAGTAGCTTGCCTAGTTCATCGCTTAGTTGATGGTTACCATCTGCGCGCATTCCCTATACGTAAAACAAAACAAATCTAGTTCGACTCATTCAGTGATTTTTGAAACAAGAAGATCTTGATTTCAACCAAGGAAAAAACAAAGATTACCAGACATTCTCCATAAAACCCTCTTCCCAATCTGATCTTGAAAGCTTTATTCAGCTTCAGCAGTTTCTTTGCATCAATAAGCCGAGTTGAAAAATATGAATTCCCGTAAGCAATGAGATCTGCCGAACTTATTCTTAACAACTGCAACATAACGACATGAATTCACTGAAGAAATGATACAAGGGCGTGCTCAAATTCAAGAAGGTTTCATTGATAATCCCAAAAATTCGAAGCGGACCTGTTCGTACATGTAAGGATTAGTGATACAATTGATCCTTGAACGCCAATCTTTTAGCCCGAAGCTGAAAGCTTTGATATCTGGTAATCTCCATCGTCGAAGATCGATATCTTCAATGTAATCAAGAACTGATTCAATCCGATTTTGGTCTTCAACGGTTAGCAAACTGAGAGATTCCCCCTAGTCCACAGATAAAAACATATACTATCACTGATTAAAATACCAATCAAAGCAGAGTCATTACTCAATCTCATTGGCCTTTACTAACCTCGGAAGATGGTTGATCTGTAAGTTTACTGGAGAAGTATGTATACACAGCCTTTGAGCTACTTTTTTCAACATCAACATTAATCTTAAACCTCTTCTCATCCTTCTTCATTGAGCCAGTCTTTGAAACTGCTGACTTTCGGTGATCAAAACATATGATCCTAATAAACCCCAAATAACGAAATTAAACCCCCAAAAAGCTTAAATTTTGAACCAAAATGTTTGTAAATTTAACACCACTGAACATACTCGCAATCTGTTTTCCGGAAAATCGTAGCATCAAAGTCTTTTGGAACAACAAAGTCGAGCAGATAACACCTCTTGAACCCCTCCAAGCACAGATCTTCAACTCTGCAAATTTTTATAAAAATTCCCAGTTTCTGAACTCAATTTTCAAACCCATATTCCCATGAGAAAATATGAATGTAACATCAAAGGATTAAACTCAATACGTATTCAATAACTCGGATCAATCTCTCCTGCTGCAACGATTGAAACGAGACGAGAAGAGGAAAAGTGTACCTAAAGGGTACGACGGAAGAGAAGGGCAAGATGAGATATGGAAGACGGAGGCGAGAGTGATAGAGATGAGCGAAGAGAGCCGAAAAAGCGCCGGAGAAGGAAGGATAATTGTACAACACTAAGTTTGGTACTTTCTCTTCCAACGCTCTGGCTATGGCTTCGAGCGCCGCGTCCGATCGGAAACTCCGTCGTGTAGCTTCGAATCGAATTTTGTACGAAGTGAAAAACGCCGGCAGAAATCTCCCGGAGAAACGCCGGAGATTCATCAACGGTTGGGACTTGGAAATTTTTTATTTTTGGTTCACGACTGAGAGAGTTTGAAGCGGAGGAAGGAAATCAGCTAAATTGCATTGAACAACTCATACTTTACATATATTCTTAATTTTCTCCCTTTTATTTGTTATTTTATTTTAAAGCCCCATATGTTCTTCTCGTTTATGACATCAAAGCCCAAAAATAAAAACACAACGACATAATTTTCTCCCTTTTATTTGTTATTTTATTTTAAAGCCCCATATGTTCTTCTCGTTTATGACATCAAAGCCCAAAAATAAAAACACAACGACATATAGAGAAAGGCAAGATCCTAAATTATTATTACAGCAAGAAGAGAAAAATCATAAGAGAGTTCATCTTCTGATTATGAAGAAACACAAGATGCTATGTGATGGATTGCAAATAAGAATAAATGGTTGAGGCCTAAGAAACACGTTTAGGTGGTCAAAATGGATTTGGAACTCTTCTTGCACTTACACCACTTGTCCATGTACGATTGACATCTACTGATCTCTGTTTCAAACTTGTCGAGGCACTACAGACAAAAAAAAAACAAAGATAAGCTTACTTATATATCTTAAAGGAGAAAGAAAACCAAAAGAAGTTAGGGAAAATAAAGGGCTTATAGAACTTGCATCTTGGAAAGCTTTGGCCTGAGTGACACATGCAATAGAACCACTGCTCTTTGCAACTTCGGTTGCCTCAAGAGCTGACACAGGTTCTGCCTTAGGGCCTTTTCGTATGAGCTTTATAGCTTCAAAAATTTCGCCCATCAAACGAGAAGACGCCTTTTCTAATTCGGAAGAAATCATATGATTCATAAGAGGCTAATTAAACAATATATAACTCTCACAACTAATCCCAAAGGTTCTACCTGCAGAGATATTGCTAAAAATATGAAATTTTACCAGTTTCCTCAGGACTTGGGCTGTACCATGGCCTACTTGCTGTGCGTCCAGTAGATTCTTCTGGGCAACCAAGAAGAAAATATAAACGTTATAAATTTCACATCGAAACGTGTAAAATTCTTAACATGCTGAATAGGAACCAATAATTAAAAAAATAAATGAAATCACTACTATATAAAATAAAACTAAACAATAAGAGAAGAGAAGTATAAACAAATAACTCCCAAATTTGAAAAACTCTCACAACTAATTCCAAAGGTTTTACAACAGATATTGCTAATATTGAAATTTTACCAGCCTGAGGAGGTGGACTGTAGCTTGCAGGGCGTGGAGTGGATCTTTCTGAGCAACCAAAAAAAAAGAAAAACTTATAAATCTCACATCGAAATGTGTAAAAGACGAACATGCTGAATAGGAGACAAAGGGAAAAATGACATGACTAAACATTAAGATCAAAAATATAACTACTTGCCATTTAATTAAGGCTATCCATCATTTTCTTAAAACAAAATTCTTTTCAGAAGTAATGCTTCTAAAATTATATCTCTAAAGAAATAAACCCAAAATGAAATTTAGTTACCATATGAAGAGATGGGCTGTGTGCAGCTGATGGTCGAGGTTGAGGACGAGGTGCAGATGATTTGGCTACATAACCAACAAGAAAAAGAAAAGGAAAAAAGGCATCATTATATTAAATTACATTGTGATTGTCATTTGAAGCAAGGTTGTTCATATTAAGGATTTGTTAAACGTTCAATAATAAAATACAAAAACTTGATTGCTAGAGTTCCAATAGAACGATATATAGTTTTAGTTGAGATATTTTATATATATTATTTATCTCAAACAATGATCACCTTCGCTCTCTAAATATATGAGTTATTGTCGAGAATGAAATGTAAGTACCAGAACTAGTTCGAGGAGACCGGCTGCGTGTAGCTGCTGCTCGAGGGCGAGAGGAAGATTTTTCTACACAACCAAGGAAAAATATATTACATAATACATACGAGAATCTACGTTTGAAATTATAGTTTTCTTAATACTATTTTATACAGAAAGAAAATTCTATTTTGGTTATACAAAACAAATGTTCTATATTTTTATTGTAAAAAAATGGTGCTAGACTGCTAATTACATTATAGATTTTTTTCTAAAAAAAATTTGTTCATTATATCATTTTTAGTTTTTGATTGCATGGTTATCAAAAATCAGTTCTACACTTTTACTTTACTTTCCAAATTTTCCTCACCACACGAAATGCGTCACTGGACCACCGATTAGTTAACAATTAGTATGTTTTTATACTTTTTCCTAAATAATAATAACCTTTTCGCTCTAGACGCAAAAAAGTTACAGTCAGGAATTAAAATAAGAAATTTACCAGTCCAGCGAGACGAGGAGCTAGATGAGGAGGTGCAAAAGGAGGATGAGCGAGAGGAGGATGAGCGAGAGGAGGATGATCTTTCTGCACAAACAAATGCTTTTATTAACTTCGCTAAATTAAGAGCGTCTCGTAGACACAAATATAAACCCAAAATAATCATTTCTCCCAATCGGTAAACGACTCTTCTCAATGCTTTTATAGCAAAAGTATGTAGGAGAGATCGAAGAGAATCATATCAAATGCATGCACAAACCCTAACGTACCCAAACGTCTCCAGAACTAAATTTCCAGGTCAAAAATTTGAAAAGAACAAACACACATAAAAGAGAAAAGGAAAGGGGTATTTCACCTTCAGGTCTACGTCTAGGCATTATGAAAACTTAGATGACCACTAATAAGTGAAGAAATATCCGGCGAAAACGAAACGCTTTGTCTACAACCAAAATTAACTGGCGAATCATATAAGTACTTAACATTTTGATTTGACTGCAAGTATATTTCTCTTGAAGATAAAGTTTCTTCTCCAACACGTTCCTTGCGTGCGAAGCCAATAGAGAATACGAGGGGAAACTCAAAATTGGTGAGTAGGATCGAAGCCGACGCTGCTGGAAAAAAAGCTTTGAATGAGGAAATTTTGTTAATTTTAAAGATGTTCACAAATTTGGAAGTTGAGAAAAGATCGGCCAATTGCATTAAACAACTCATACTTTATCTAGATTCTCTAATTGCGCTCTTATTTTTGCTTTTCTTTTTAAATACCTGCAACCCTTTTGATACTTTACAACAGTGGCCAGTCTTGAAGAAAAAAAAAACAGTTCTTTTCGTTGAATTTCAAGCAGACACATTCGCTAGTATTTTGTTTCACTTTTGAATTTTGTTTAACATAGATAAAGATAGTTAACTTCCAAATTTCAACAAAAAAGTAGAACATGGACTTGAAGAAAAAGAGGATAAATTTAAAATCCTCGACAAAGTTATATCTAAGCTTTATAATACTTTTCCACTAAGCAGACTTTTGGTTTTTCACCAAAGGAAAACAAACCAACAGACTTCAGCGTCTGACTATATCAAAGACACCACAGAGAACCACCTCTTCTCACATATTTCCCTGATTTCACATAGTTTTTTTTTGGAGAAATTATTACAAATAACAATAGTAGATACGAAATCAAACTTAGGCAGCCATCATGGAACCAGAATTCTTCCTGCACTCAGACAACATGTCCATGTAGAACTGGCACTTACTGATGTCGCTTCCAAAATTGTTGACACACTACAACACACATTAAACAATAGAAAAACATCCCGAGTCAATTAGTTTTCCTCGGATACACAGGGATTCAAGTAAAAGCTTAAGCACACCGTAGTATCTACAATAGTAAAGATGAGAAGGAAACCACTTTTCAATGAGCCTGTCTTGTCCTTCGATTTCAGTGTATATGTCAACGCAAAGATCTAACCAATTAATGATGATCTAGGTACTGATTCACCTACATTCCTAATATCTTATAAACAATAATACATCCACAACGCTAAGCCTACACTGAAGACAGGACATGAGATGGGCTTAATCACTTAGCTTTACATCTAATGCACAGTGAAGAAAAAGATCAACCTAAAATGCTCAATGAGGATAAAGCAAGAATTTAACTCACATCTTGGAAAGCCTTGGATTGAATGTCACAAGAACCAGAACTCATGCTGTTTGCAACAGGGGTTGCAGAGACAGCCTTAGAAACAACGGTTTCGTGCTGAATGGTTCTTGGGCCCATCACAGCATCCACAGCCCTGTGTGCAATTCCACTTCCAGTACCAAAAGCCATACCTAGTTCCATATAAACAACAGATCATGAGAAACCAAATCCAACCAAACCACCAAATCTATAAAAGAGATGTGCTAAATAAATCACAAAACAGAAAAGAGATAAAAGCGCATACCTTGAGCTATGGTTGAACCAATACCCCCAAGCATAGAACCACCACCATTAGGCTGAGCTGTTGCTGGAGGAGGAGCACGATTAACTGGTAACCCAGAAAGAAAGAAAAAAACGCAGTTATAATACATCAAAGAAAATCAATAAAGCTAAATAATATAACCACTGGATTACTAAAAGCCGAAAATACAATCTACCAGTTTGAGGAGGCGGGCTACGTGCAGCTGCAGGACGAGGGCGAGGAGCAGATCTTCCTGCACAAACAGAAATTAAACCACAAATCAATTTTCCTCCTCGTCGACACAAACATAAACCTTAACAGTGTGTTGTGTCCCCGCATGCAATATAGCCTAAATAATTGCTCAGGAGACACAAATCGGAAGATATATACCAAGATTTTAACATCATAACAGTGATATTTACCAAAACCCCAAAGAACAGATACAAATTCCAGACTAACCCAAACACAAACGTGATCTGAAAATTGAAAAGAGAAAACTCACCTCCGGAGCTGCGTCGAGGCATTTTCGAAATTTTGACGACGAAGAAATGAAGAATTATCTCTATCAGGCGAAAACGAAACGCTTACGCACCTGACGGAAACACATTTTATAAGAGGAAAACGGGATAATCAGATGAGGTCAAGACCACGGGAAGATTAAAACGTTGTCAATTTCTTATTGGTTGCAACTTGCGAGTCGAACTCTCTAGATGAGAATATTCCCTGCCGTTTCTTGCTCCCCAATCCGACGAATTTGGGCTTTGACTGGCCCATAATAATTTCATCGTTCGAGAATTTATTGATTTTTGTTATAAAAACGTGTTTACACAAAAAGTACGTGTAAGATCCAGAGTCCAACAAACTACGCGGATCAGCTTTACTTGAAAAAAAAAAGATGAAAAAAAAAACTCTACACAAAAATCACAACGTCTTGTTCGACGTCGTTTCTGAAAGCTTCTTCAAATGCTTATGTACAAAAAAGGCTTCACCTTTGCAGACCTGCCTGGGTTTGACTATCCTCCTGCAACATCTTCATCTTTGGAACACGAATTAAGTAAAGCACGAATCTCAAGTGAAGTTTGACTACTTATTTAGACTACTAGTAGTGGTTCTCGACCGAAAAATGTGACAAAAGGCTGATAGAAGAACTATATGTAAAATGAGTAATTGGGGAATAACATTTCGATTCAGCTAGATTATTATTCACTTTGTATTGCAATCTTCTAGTGGAGTTTTTCCCCTAACTTTATGAGGTTTCAGATATCTGAACACAAGAAAACCATTATTTCAGAGCTCAAGAATACCATTATTTCTAATAAGTTGTTGGGAATGGCATTTTGATTTAGTACGATGATTCACTTTGCATCAATTGCGGTTTAAAAAGGACTTTGTGGATACGGCGTCGTATAAAAGGATGGGGATTATAAATCAACCGAATCGGACCAATGAACGGTTTATATTTCTATATTCCGAAATCAACCCAAACCGAGATAGATCAAAATGTCAAAATCCGAGCTTAACTGAGGTCAATGTAATTTTTTGAATTTTGATTACTCATAAAGCATTTAGGTAAACAAAAGCTATCATTTGGAGACGTTATTAAATTCGAGGAAACCAAAACCGGTTTAGAAGGAAATTGGTATCTGGTTCCCTTAGATCGGTTGACGTTGTTTCCGTCAAAAAACCGGCGAAAGTAAGGAAAATGGTTGTGCCGGTCCACTTAGGTGATTTTGACAAGTAATCTTTGTTTTCCTTTTTATGCAAATGAAATTTTATTAATTTCAGATGAATCTTTTCCATAAAAATTGCTCATTTTGATTAAATTATGATCAAAACATGGTACTAAAACATTTGAATTAGCCGGTAACAATCAGAAAAGAAACGATAAAATTTTAGTATTTATAGTCTACTAGTTAGTCTAGTAGTACTGTAAACATCTATAAACAACACAAATTAAAGCAAAACCAAACAGTGTTATAAGTAAGATGAACAAAAAGGTTAACTTCTGTTACTTTGAACTGTATTGTCAACATCCAATAGAAAATGAAACAGTAGTCACTTGCAATATAAGAACTCCCAGCAATTTGAGAAACGAAAATGATCAATTCTCTGCAGCAGCACTTGCAGCACTCAAGTCCACAGACAGATCAAGAGTCTGAAAAAGAGACGGTAGAAAAACTCAGTGTTTGAAATGTTTCGATTACTTGTGAAGCAAAAAAAAAAAAACCAAGTGGTGAGGTTATTACCTTTCCAGTGATCTTGGTGTACATCTCAAGCACATCCGCGACTGTACTCTCGAAATGTGTTGTTGCATCATAAGTCTGAGAAAACAAATCAAGGAAACATCAAGAAAGTAAAAAACAATACATGTAAGAAATAAAAATTATATTAGATTATATGGTGTTTTCTGATATTCACTTACACCAGAGATGAAGCAGTTATCTTCTTCTTGATTATTGGTGGGAACGTATGTGTCATAAGAGTGATAGAAGATCTCATCAATAGGTCCAAGCAATTCGATTCCAGGTTTAAGCTCTTCCTCTGGATTGTCAGTTTCAGCTTCTGCAGAGACAAATGCTATGTATTTGCCATTTGGTGCCACATTGTGAGCGTATGAGCAACAGAACAAGTACCTACAAAATCCAAAATCTCAGAATTCATTTTCTCAAAGTAGAAGCAAGTGAGATCAATGTTTCTATAGTTGGATGTGTTTTTGATTACGATCTCTTACATGTCTGATTTGCGACCGAGTTGCTTCTGAGGAAGAATGATTTGCACCGAATGAGCATCATTGGTGTCTGGAATAGGATGGCTCATTATACATACTGCTCGAGTCACTTTACCAACTTTCTTAACCTGAAAGACAAGGAAACAATCTTAGAAGAACAAGAACTAACCAGATTATGCAGGTGAAATGGTTTATCATTACCTTGTTAGGCAAGTAAGAAGAATCACAGACAACTTTCTTGCACTTAGCAGTTTCTCCTGCAGAAGTGACACCAATAGCTTTTCCGGCGCTATCAAACTCAACCTGTTAGGGATAATGTTAACATTTATGTCTATAAAATAACAATTATACACTAGATCGATTAGATCGCCTATACATTTTTGGATATGAGATATCAAATAAATAAAACCAAGAAAAAAAAGAGATTATGGATCGCGTCTTACCTTGCATTCAGGCTTGTTGAGCATGTAAGTCCCACCATACACAGCGCTCAAACGCGCAAAAGCCTGACATAGACACGGAGATTTGAGACAAAGAAAAAGGCTGTAACGTGATATGTTTCATGAGAATAATTATAAAGTGAACACGAACCTGTGGCAACTCTCCTAGACCGTACAATGGGTAGATGTAAGGAGATCCTCCTTGGAAACGAGCCAAAGATTCCGCATAGAGCTTCATTACATAACAAAACAATAAAATGTCATTGAGATCAAAAACATTTCCGTATTGAGGAAGAAAGGAAAACACTTTACCTTAATTCTCTTAACAAAATCAATGGCGGGTTGATCCAAGTAGTTATCGTCATTGTGAAGCGCTAAGGCATGCCCGATGAAGTCGATTGTATCATCTTCAAGTCCATACTTACTGTTGGGGGATGAATAGAGACAAAAGCGTGTAAGGCAAGAAACTAGGATGAAATGGCTTGAGATGGAAGAAAATACGTTGTACGTACGAGATTATTTCTCTAGCAGTGACTTTGCTAAGGTCAAGTCCTTCGTGAGATTTAGGATCCTTCTCATCGTAGTCTTGCACATAGATGAAGAACTTTCTCGCACGTCGCTTCTCGAACAGACCCATCAATGGCGATTTCAGGGCTTCCACATCAGTGGCCGGGACTTTATAGATCTGACATTCGTATAATACGAATGGTCAAAATCTCAGAGTAATTAACTTGCTTTTGAAGGTAAAATAGACTTAATGATTACCTTGCCCTTCTTGTAGACGAAGCTACCATCAACGGCTTTGAAGTTAAGATACTTGGTGACATCGGTGTGGATTAGGGTTTGAACAAGGAGTCCATTAGCCATTATGAACTGCAGATCAAGAAACAATATTCATCATCAATCATTAATATTATGCATATACATTCACATTATACATATACATATACATTCACATATAAACATGCATATATATATACAGTATATGGACCTTTGGGATCATATCGACATTGTATTCTCTGCTTGCTCCAAGTTTTTCTTGAGGGGTATCACTTCCCCTGAAACGCTTCCATAGCTGAGTGAGGTTAAGAGAGGTTGATTCTCCTCCATAGTAGTCGTTTCTATCCATATGCAATACCTACATACATTTAGATCCAAAAAAATAAAATTTTGATATTCGTTAATGATTTAATTACTATATACAATTCATGATTCAAGATTTGTTAATCATATCTGTTGCAAGTGTTCCACATTTAACTTATTATACACAATTCGTGAATTATGAAACAAAGACGTTGTTCTTTTCCTGCAAGAAGAACTCGTTGAAAAGGTAAAAAAACAAATAATCACTGGATCATTATAGACTATAATTAAACAAAAGGCGAGAAGTAAACGTGGAAACAAAGCTTTATTTGCATGTGATGCACAAAAGCAAGCTCGCATTTGAAAGTGAATTGCGAAAGAAGATGGTAAAGGAGAAAACCTTGAGGCCATCGACAGAGAGGAGACCACTAAGGATACATTCCTTGAGACCAGTCCCAAGAACAATCACATCGTACTCTTCATCCATTGTTGTAATCGATCTGTGTCTCTATTATCGATCGTCTTAAACTCTTCTCTGATCTCTAATAGATTTTGTTTTACGAAGAAATAAAGTGCGTGGGAAGAAAAAGAAATAAAGGATGATGTGTGGCTGATAACACAGTCTTACCACCACCTCCGATCTTACCGTTTAACCCCATGAGAATTTTTTACGTTGATTATTAAACCCGAATTGTTAGGCTAAAAACTTGGGTTCCTAGCTATGTATATACAAACAAAATGTTAAAAGGCACATAAATTTACTATTTCTAGAGGAACAAGTAGCTTTTAAAAAAAAAAAGTTCTAGTCACAATGAATGGTTGACCTGGTCAACTTAACCAGAAGTAATTAGAATAAAAAACCGGAATGAGAATTAAGTTCAAATCTATAACCGATCATTGGTACTGTACTAATGTAGAGTGTAGACACTAGGCAGGCCCTGGTACTGGGTGCCGGTTAAGCCACTGTAAAAGTATACCACAAGAATTACATACCGATCCGGGTGGAATTATCGGTTCGTTGTATTGATTGATGATACTATTCGAAGAATTACTAAATGACAAAAATACCCAAAGTGACCCCTTTTACTATTCATACTATCAATAAGTCCTTTTGGTCCATTAGCAAAAGTAGCTCTGCTCTGTATTTAACCAAAAAAAAAGGAGCAAAAAAGGGAGAAACGGAGTAATGGAAGGCGGCGATGGTAACAGAGCCGAGGCGGATCGGTGGCTAGTTGCATCGGAGAAGCATTTAGCCTCAAGTGACTTCCACGGAGCAAAGACATTTGCGATCCGCGCATGCAAAGCCGACCCGTCCCGAACACATGCATCTGACTTTATCCTCGCCATCTCCGACACTCTCCTCGCCGGAGAATCCACCGTCGGAGATTCCAAATTACCAGATTGGTACGCCGTACTCCGACTCATCCGACTAACCCAAAACCACGAACACATCGCGATTCAGTACCGTCGACTCGCTCTTCTCCTCAATCCCACGGTCAATCGTCTCCCTTTCGCCGTTCAGGCGCTTAAGATCGTCTCCGATGCTTGGTCCGTCCTCTCTGACCCTCCCAGGAAATCAATTTACGACCGAGAATTGAAGCTGATCCAAATTGGTCAATTCGGCCAAACCCAAAGCCAGTCGCAGCAGTTTCAGGATTCGCCATTGCAGAGCCAAGCTGAGACCTTTATGGCTACAAACTTTTGGACCTCTTGTCCATACTGTTTCGCGCTTTTTGAGTATCCTAAGGGTTACGAGGAGTGTGCATTGAGGTGTCAGCATTGTAGAAGAGCGTTTTCAGCGGTTAAGACGCAAACGCTACCACCAGTGGAGAGTAATGGTGAACGCGTTTACTTTTGTTCATGGGCTGTGTTCCCATTAGCGTTTTCAGGTCATGCTATATCCTCTGGCTCTGGTCGGTCCACAATTTCACCTCTCTATGTCTGCCCTGAGCAAAGCTTTGATCAGCAAGCAAATATTACGGCTCCTCCAAGAAACTATTACGATGATAATAACGATGATTTATATGTTATAATATCTGATGATGACTGATGATGATTGGAGAGACCGAGAGATGATGCAAAGAGAAATAAGAAAGCTAGATGATATCGAAGGGATTGGTTTTCTTGAATAGCTTGCCAATACTTTGATGCCTATATATATATATATATATGATAAGGTCAAGGCTAGTTAGTTAAAGCAAGGCTCTCATTTTTTGTCTTTTGTTTTGTATTTGTGTTTGCCTTGGAGGTTTTATGTATTGCTGCTAGTTGATGTTTATACCGTAGTAGAAAATGATGTAACTCTGTTTCTTTTGTGGAATCAATGTAGATGGAATCTGTTGATGTATTTTGGCGTGAAATGCGCTTTCGGTATATATTCCTCTGTATCATAACCAAAAACAGGTTTTATCTGCTTACTAGAACTTAAGAAACTGGACATGATTTGGTAGCGATAATCAGAATGCTTTTAATGGTGGAAAGGGCTTTCAATCTGCTCAGGCTTGTTTTGGCTGAACAAGAATCTTGTTTCACCAACTAGAAAAGGGAATAAGGGAAAAGTAAGCTTGATGAATAAATGTCTTTTACCGATCACAGACTCGAGTTTTACCCAAATATATAACTTTCCCTTAATTTGTAAATTTGTCTGAAGACCAATATCAAACAAGATATTGTACATCTAAGACTTTGATGACAAAGAACATAACCTACACACAACAAATTAAAAAGGATCCAAGTCGTTGTGTAGATTACCAGCCAAAACCTAATTTTTTTTTTTTTTGCTTATTTAATAAAAAATGCCGTTTTCATACTTTTAAATATACAAATTCATGTGTGAAAATTCCATCTTGAAACTATTTTTGATTCATTAGAATTAGTGCAACAGACTAGAGTTTTTAAGACACATACAGTAATTCATCAAGTCTATCTTGATTTTCTAATGATTATTTGTATAACTTTATATAATTGTTGATGATTATTTTCAAACTGGCTTCCTCTAATTTACAAAGTTTAAGAATTTTTAAGACATACGTGTAACAACAACATGGGCACGTAAACACTAAAAACCAAAAATTCAAGTAGATTGAAAATGACAATTCAAATATACAGATAGAGAGGTTAAACGAACTATTTGAACTGTGCGGATTTTTCCCACCAAACTCTATCTTTCTTCTTACTCAAAACACCTTTAAATAGCCTTTCGGATCAAAGACAAAGCTCATCACAAACCAACAACAAACACAACAAAAGCAAAAGAAGCATAAAAGAAGAAGAAGAAGGCAGCAAACGTCTCAAGCAAGCAGACATGGCACCGATGAAGAAGAGTCTCTTTGCTCTTCTCCTCTCATCACCAATTCTGATCATCTGTCTTATTGCATTGCTCTCTGATCCCGTCTCAGTCGGAGCTCGCCGGTTACTAGAGGAGATTCCTAAACCGGAGATACCGAAATTGCCTGAACTACCTCACCCGGAGCTACCGAAATTCGAAGTTCCCAAGTTGCCGGAGCTACCTAAACCAGAGATGCCCAAGTTACCTGAATTTCCAAAGCCTGAGTTTCCCAAGATCCCAGAGATTCCGAAGCCCGAATTGCCAAAGATGCCGGAGATTCCAAAGCCTGAATTGCCCAAGTTCCCAGAGATGCCCAAGTTTCCAGAGATTCCGAAGCCCGAATTTCCCAAGTTTCCGGAGATTCCGAAGCCTGCGGAATCTAAATTAATGGAGACTCCCAAGCCTGAGGCTCCTAAATTGCCGGAAGTTCCTAAGCCAGAGCTGCCAAAGATGCCGGAAATTCAGAAACCAGAGTTACCAAAGATGCCGGAGCTTCCGAAGCCAGAGCTGCCAAAGATGCCGGAAGTTCCTAAGCCAGAGTTGCCAAAGATGCCAGAGATTCAGAAGCCAGAGCTACCAAAGATGCCGGAGGTTCCTAAGCCAGAGCTGCCAAAGATGCCGGAAATTCAGAAGCCGGAGCTGCCCAAGATGCCGGAGGTTCCTAAGCCAGAGCTCCCAAAGATGCCCGAGGTTAAAAAGCCAGAGCTGCCAAAGATTCCAGAGGTTCAAAAGCCAGAGGCTCCTAAGTTGCCGGAGATTCCGAAGCCGGAGCTACCAAAGGTCCCGGAGATTCAGAAACCCGAATTTCCGAAGATTCCAGAGATTCCAAAAGCTGAGGTACCGAAAATGCCGGAGATTCCAAAGCCAGAGCTACCGAAGATGCCTGAACTTCCCAAGTTACCGGAATTCCCAAAAGTTCCCGGAACTCACTAATTGAACCACCAGAAGTAGGCCCAGCTACTTTGAAGCCCATCTCATGATCTTAAACTACCATTTTACCCTTATATTGTTTGTCTATCTCATCATCGTTTTACTTTGTGAACCATATATGGTTTGATCTTATAGTCCTCCTTCATTTTCTTTCTCTTTTTGATGCACTTATACTTGTATTCTATTATATTTGTATGTTTCATTCATACATATGTCTTTGTATTTAATATACTTTTGGATTGTGTTACTTATTTAAGACATGTTTCTGTGCAAAGGTTACACATATATATAGTGGTATCAAGGTCTAATTTCTCAACTATCTCAGTCATGTGTTCAAGAAAACAATGTATCATGTGCATCTATGCAGATTGCAGGGGAAAAGACAGATTTTAAAGTAAGTATAGAGTGGAGTTGTTAATTATCAAATTTGTGTGCAAGAAACGATATGTTGCTCAAATGTTGTTATGAAATTAAAACGGTCTAATCCTATATAGTACTGAAACAAAAAGAAAAACAAGAATTGTTTACGCTAACATTAAGTATTTCTCATACTAATTCTTGATTTGGTAATATTTGGGACAGAATAGATCGTTCTATCGCTCCAAAAGATTAAAAACTCATATTACTTAGAATATAAGCCTTTTTCAGTTTATGATCTTCTTTGCACACCTTAATTATATCAGCTTATTTGCAATTTAAGATCTATGGCCTTTAATATCAAAACCTCGTGTAATTGATTGTGTCCCATATTAATTACAAAGCTGGGTTGTTAAGCTTAAACCTTAAATAACGTGTTGAAATGAACACGTATAACCAAACACATGAACAGGTAAACTCTCCAAAACCTAAACTTCAACTAGATTGAAAATGACAGCATAGATAGATATACAGATAAAGAGGTTAAACGAACTTTTTCTCGAACTCTGCGCATGTTTTTTCTCACCAAAGTCCATCTCACTTCATCTTCAAAACAGCTTTAAATAGCCGTTTCAATCAAAGATCAAAACTCATCACAAACACAACAACAACAACGCAAAAAAGCAAAACAAACCAATATAATAGAAGAAAGATTGTCAAGGAGAGAATGGCATTGAAGAAGAGTCTCTCTGCTTCTCTTCTTTCCCCATTTCTGATCTTATGTTTTACTGCATTGCTCGCCGGTACGGTTTCAGTCGGAGCTCGGCGGTTACTAGAGAATCCCACGCCGGAGATAACGAAATTTCCGGAACTACCTAAACCCGAGATGCCCAAGTTACCCGAATTTTCGAAGCCTGAGTTGCCTAAGATTTCGGGGTTGCCTACGTTACCGGAAATTCAGAAGCCCGAGTTGCCGAAGATGCCGGAGATTCCGATGCCAGAGCTACCCAAGATGCCGGAGCTTCCAAAGATGCCTGAGTTACCGAAGATGCCTGAAATTCCCATGTTCGATGCTCCAAAACTGCCAAAACCTGAAGAAATTCAAGAAACAAAAGTGCCGGCGTTTACAATGCCAAAGTTTCCGGGAACTCCCTAAGCCCATATTACCAGAATAAGGCCCATTTATTTTGGAGCCCAATCCATTTTTCTATTTACTCATCCTTATTTTTCGTCTCGTTGAAATGCGCTCATACTTGTATTCTATCGGTCGTCTCTCTACTTGTATGTTTCACACATCTCGTTATATCTTAATAGACTTATTAATTGGATTGCGTTACTAAAGCCAGAGTTGCCCAAGTTTGTATACCATTCCCCAACGACGATGTCAAAGAGCAACCGACGAATGCGAATACCAGCAATGCTGCATGAATAAATTAACATTTCAAAATCTATTAAAATCTACTGAAAAATCAATACACAAATGAGTTTTTTGATAAAATGTTAAGATCAATACACAAATGAGTTTTCTTCCCAAAAAAAAGAAAAATCAATACACGAAAATTTGGCAGACATATACTAATAAATAAATCCATTAATTCTAGGGTTTAGCCGATGTCCTCGTATATATTTGGATCCGCCGAAAAAAAAGGCAACTTCTTGCTGCTCATTTGAAAAACTCAAGCAGACACAGATTCAGGGTTTATCCACTTATTTTTCGCCGAGATCCAACAATGGTAAGTTCCTACCATCCTACATCTCTCTGAGCCTATACTACTATTGTGCTATTCGCATTTCCGAAATCTTTGGTTTGTAATTTCTCAATGGGGACTCTCTATAGGCTGACGTCGAACCAGAGGTTGCAGCTGCGGGATTGCCGAAGAAGAGAACGTTCAAGAAATTCGCCTTCAGAGGAGTCGATCTCGATGCTCTTCTCGACATGACTACCGACGATCTTGTCAAGCTCTTCAGCTCCCGTATTCGCCGAAGGTTATTCTCTGAACCAAAGACGAATAGTTTTCGTCTCCTTACTGTGAAAATCGTCTAATCGAATTGCTATTCTCTTCCTTAGGTTCTCTAGAGGATTGACGAGGAAACCTATGGCTCTGATTAAGAAACTGCGCAAGGCGGTATAGCTCTCCCAATTCAGAAACTTTGTTGAATTTGACTTGCGAATTTATATACTGTTTCTAGAATCTGGCTCTGCTTTGTGAGCAATCTGTTTTCTCTTCTCGTATCTGTGTGCTTCCAAATTCTATTCAACCTAGAAATGCTTGAGAAGTTTTGTGTTCGTTCAATGCAACGCTAAAGGTTACTACTTTGGCTTGCTTCACCAGAAAAGAGAGGCACCAGCTGGTGAGAAGCCGGAACCAGTGAGAACCCACTTGAGAAACATGATCATTGTGCCTGAAATGATTGGAAGCATCATCGGTGTGTACAATGGGAAAACTTTCAACCAAGTGGAGATCAAGCCCGAGATGATTGGGCATTACCTTGCAGAGTTCTCCATCTCATACAAGCCAGTCAAGCACGGAAGGCCCGGTGTTGGTGCTACCCACTCCTCCAGGTTCATCCCTCTCAAGTGAAGACCTTACAGAGACTCTGGCTTTCTTAGGCTCTCATTTTGCCATTACAGGGTCCTTCTCTTGTCTGTTTTTGGACCATTTTGTCTGTTCTTCACTCTGTTTTGCTACTCTCCCGCATCAATTCTCTCTTCTTTTTGAATGTCTGTAAACTCTTGGTTCATTTGATTAAAGAAGACTCAAAACTTTTTGGGGATCAATCTTACTGTTGGCAATGACTAGTTCATATTCGTATATTAGTTTTATCCCTTCATGCTTTGAAGTAGAGTAATTACTACTGGTGGGCATAGGTTGTATATCTAAGAAAAGGTTTCCAATTTAACCGATTTGGGTACTCGAAAGAATTTTATAGTTGTTCTAAAACAAAAGGCGATGCATCTGAAGCAGTTCGGGCCATTGACCCCAAGTCGGAGCAAAGATGGTCTACGAACTTGGCCACTCCAATGTACAATAGTAATTCTAAAATGCTTAATATGATGGAAAAACATTTAACACACCAATAGTAGGGCTAAGAAAATTCAAGCTGTGTTGTTTTTACCAGACAGTTGAATCTGTGTTCTGACTTTAGAGAACTCTGGATAACATCTCATTTGTGTCCCAAGAGATTTGCCTGATTATCGGGTTATTGCGTCTATGGAGTTACACTGTTTGCTCTGTCGATGATGTATTTTGTGTAGACTCTAGTTATTATCTAGCTAGTTTTTTATTAATTTAATTTTTCATTGAATGTGTATAGTTTTCTCTCAATTTTTTTTGTAGGTAATTAATGGGCCCGGAAGAAATTAAAAGGACCAATTAAAAAATATTATTAGGGTTATCCCAGCTATATGTGGTGCTTAAGTTAAGTTGTTTGTCGTTTGCGCAGACACTGTTAAGAGGCTCTCTGGATTGAAAGGTTTCAACAATCTGAACAATGGTATGCTCCTCGATCTCTCTGTCTCTCTAGCATATTCTCGTGATTAGATCTGTAATATTTTCGCCATGGGGAATCTCTGTAGGCTGATGTCGAACCAGAGGTTGCTGCGGCTGGAATCGTGAAAAAGAGAACGTTCAAAAAGTTTTCCTTCAGAGGAGTCGATCTCGATGCTCTTCTTGACATGTCTACCGATGATCTTGTCAAGCTCTTCAGTGCTCGTATTCGCAGAAGGTTAGTTTCAACTTGAACCAGAAATTAAAGCTCTGTCTCGAATTCGTTAAGATCGTCTCTTACAATCATCTGTTTTGTATGTGAATTCTCTTGATAGGTTCTCTAGAGGGTTGACGAGGAAGCCTATGGCTTTGATCAAGAAATTGCGCAAAGCGGTAAAACCATCATTTGTCCGATCACTATATATATTCGTGCTTCTTCTCTATACATTTTTTTTTTTGTGTGTTTGCGATCTTTGCAACCAAATGGCTATAAACACTAAATAAGATTATGACCTTTGAGCAGAAAAGGGACGCACCGGCAGGTGAGAAGCCAGAACCAGTGAGAACCCACCTAAGGAACATGATCATCGTTCCTGAAATGATTGGAAGCATCATCGGTGTATACAACGGAAAGACTTTTAACCAAGTCGAGATCAAACCGGAGATGATTGGGCATTACTTGGCTGAGTTCTCAATCTCGTATAAGCCGGTTAAGCATGGTAGGCCTGGTGTTGGTGCTACCAATTCCTCCAGGTTTATCCCCCTCAAGTGAATTTAGCTCTTTATACAGACCAGTCTTTGTTATTCTACAAAACTGAGTCTTTCGTTTTGATTTTTCTTTATAACATTTCCTCTGTTTTTCCCTTTCCTACTTTAGATTTTGTCTAAAAACAATTGTTCCTGCGTTTAATAATACATATATAGCATTCTTCTAATAATATCTATACTTTGCTCTGTTTAGAAATAGTCCCAAGTATCCAACCCTTTTGGGGTAATTTATAGATATCTTTGAATTTGAGTTTTACATTGCATATTTTAAATTTATAGATTTCTAGATTAAAGAAAAAAATCGATATTTTTATACTTTAGTGGCTGTAGTAATATATCGAAGAAACAAATCTTATAAAATTCACCAACTATCTTTGTGAACAGACAAAAATTCTTTGGGTCTCTAAATATAATACGTGAACCGGGAAAAGGAAGTTTATGACGAAAATATTCATTCATATATAATTTTAGGAATTCGTGTATCTATGGAAACAATCAAATCTTTGGGAATTCAATGATGGACATAACATTCTACGATTAATCCAGACCTATAATATAGATATATATTTGGGAGCCAAGTTATGTGGCTTGCCGTTTCTCCATAGCAAACCCTAGCGCAGCAGTTACTTTCAGGGTTTCTCGAACCAACGACGATGGTTAGTACCTTTCGATTAGTCGATTTGCAACATTATCATGGTCTTAAATTCGGTTGACAAAAAATAATAATATCATGGTCTTAAATTCCTCTGTCGGAATCCATAGGCACAAGTCGAATCAGAAGTTTCCGCAGCTGCTCTTGCCAAAAAGAGAACGTTCAAGAAGTTCTCCTACAGAGGAGTCGATCTCGATGCTCTTCTTGATATGCCCACTGATGATCTTGTCAAGCTCTTCCCTTCCCGTATTCAAAGAAGGTTTGATCCACCAAGATATTTTGTCTCCATTTTGGTAGATTATATATATCTGGCTCTGATCAGTGATTAACTGGTTTTGTTTACGTTTATCATCTTTTAGGTTGTCTAGAGGATTGACGAGGAAGCCTATGGCTCTCATCAAGAAGTTGCGCACAGCGGTAAAATCCTAATCGGTTAATTTAAAGTTGGATTTGATTACTTGGTTATTTTTTTCAGTTTTCAAACATGAATACATATACTACATTATTAAAGTTATTATATATAGTTTAATATATATGTTCTTAATGAATTTTGGTTTCGTTCTGTTCTGTCCATTTGCAATTATGGCACTAAGTTTTGTTTCTGTTTGGCGTATTCGAAATATGTATAATGTACTACTGGTCGGGAAAAAAATGCTAATTAGTTCGGCTTTAGTTTGAGATAATTCGGTTCGATTTTTTATTTCACTAGTCCATTCCATTGTTTTTATGAATGCTTAAGAAAATTTATGATGGTTCTTTGAGATCACATGTCTTAACATGCAAGACATCTATATGGTTTACCCTAAAACAGAAAAGAGACGCACCAGCCGGTGAGAAGCCAGAAGCAGTGAGAACCCATCTAAGAAACATGGTGATTATGCCTGAAATGATTGGAAGCATCATCGGTGTGTACAACGGAAAAACTTTTAACCAAGTCGAGATCAAACCGGAGATGATTGGGCATTACTTGGCTGAGTTCTCAATCTCGTATAAGCCGGTTAAGCACGGTAAGCCTGGTGTTGGTGCTACCAATTCCTCAAGGTTTATCCCTCTCAAGTGAAGCCATTATAAGACGCCCGTGTTGTATTTTTACCATTTCTTCTAATTTTTTTTTGTTTATTTGAATCTTCTTTAGATGACTCTATTGTCCTTTAAACTTTTCGGATTATCGATATATTCTATACTATTATTCTTGGTGCGTTGAATTTTAATATTAGACATTTGAGTTATAGTGTACAATTTATTTGATTTTGCTCCTCGTATATGTAACTAATTTCGAAGTTTTCAAATAGTCGATAATTTTACAAAGAAAAAATTGGTCGAAGGAGCTTTTTTGTTTTCTTTGGTTTCTTTCTCGTTTTGACTAGGTAGGTGAGACGATTTATCCGTTGTATAAGTTTTCTTGTAATGTTTAAAAGTTAAAAACACGTAAAATTCAGTTCTCAACTAAACTTTAAGGCTTTATACATATGAGAAGTAAAAATAGAAAATAGGTGAGTTAGTTGACGACTAACATCGCAGTTAGACTTATTTTCCCACCAAAACTTTTGACTCTGATGAAATCAACATAGTAAGAGCTCTCTCATTTCAATTCTATTTAAGGACCCACTCTCTACACAATCTTAAAACACAAACGCTGTATACTCATAACATACTTCACTCTAGCTTCTTTCTAAGTTGGTTTCCGTTCAAGAAATAAGAAGAACATATGAAGAACATATCACAAAAGATGATTACTCTTCGCCTTCCTATTCTCGTTGCTTCCATCTTTTTCCATGTCTTTATCTCGTCCTCCTTGTTTGCTACGCCTAGTTTTGCTGCTAGAGTAGGTCACTCTCTGGTGCAAGAAGAGGTCACAAAGCTTCCACAGTTTAAGAAGTACTATGAGGAGCCGGAGCATCCAGAAGAGCCTGTATTGCCGGAGGAGCCGGAGCATCCAAAAGAGCCTGAGGTACCTGAGGAGCCGGAGCATCCAAAAGAGCCAGTGTTGCCTGAGGAACCGGAGCATCCAGAAGAGCCAGTGTTGCCTGAGGAGCCGAAGCATCCAGAAGAGCCTGAGGTACCTGAGGAGCCGGAGCATCCAGAAGAGCCTGTGGTACCTGAGGAACCGAAGTATCCAGAAGAGCCGGAGCATCCAGAAGAGCCGGAGCATCCAGAAGAGCCGGAGCATCCAGAAGAACCGGAGATTCCTGAGGAGCCTGAGGAACCAGAGGAGCCAGAAGAGCCAAAAATTGGATATCCGTCGTGGATTCCGAGCTTTCCGTTTCCCGGTGGTAACGGTGGTTTTCCGAAGACTGAAAAGGTAAAACCTACGGCAACGGTTAAAGAGGTTCCCATGAAAAGCACTAGTGTTTCTGAGGAAACTTCGAGTGATCTGAACAAGAAGCCATAGATCAATTTGGCTGAAGAACGTTAAAAGGGGGCATTTATATAGTGAATGATCTTGCTTGATTAATGATAATAGAGTATGTGTGTAATAATAGTTTGGTTTGTGCTATTAAGTGCGAGGCAGTATACTTATAAATTAGAACATGTCATGTGTGAGTCTCTACTCTCTAACGCTACGATCTTGATATAGTCTTGTACTGAGTCTCTCTTGTAACTATCAGTAAATCTATATTTATGTGGTCTAAAAATTATATTTAACTATCAGTAAATCTAGGTAAGATAATTAGTTAAAGATCTTCATCATATAGTTTTTTACGCATTTATATTGACCAATATTGGTTTATTCCTCTGGCTTCGATTATTCTTTCATGACAAGGCGCGCATCAAGACAAGACAAGAAACCTTGTGCTAAAGCTGGAACCCGTAATGCAGGACTAGTACACAAACACAACTCGTTTGCATTATTTTTCTTTTCTTCCCATGTCTTTTGTCTTCTTCCATTTCCAACTTGTCCAATTTCATTTTCTCCTCTCCAAACATTTTCTTACAAAAGATCCAACTTCTCAAATTCTTTTCTCATTCTTTTTTCATATACTCATTAATCAAAAAAAAAAAAAAAAAATCTCCATATAGTCAAAACCTTCAGGTGAACAATGGGATTCAAACCATTTCTTGAAGGTGGCATCGCCGCAATCATCGCCGGAGCTCTGACACACCCATTAGACCTCATCAAAGTCCGTATGCAGCTCCAAGGCGAGCACTCTTTCTCTCTCGACCAAAACCCTGACCCTAATCTTAATCTTACCGTTAAACCGTACCGACCCGTTTTCGCTCTTGACTCTCTCATCGGCAGCATTTCCTTATTACCTTCATCCACTCACGCGCCGCCTTCCTCCACGCGCTCTGGCACAACCCCTTTCGCCGTTGGGGCCCACATTGTGAAAACCGAAGGACCTGCCGCTCTCTTCTCCGGCGTATCCGCCACCGTCCTCCGTCAGATGCTTTACTCCGCCACTCGTATGGGTATTTACGACTTTCTTAAACGGAGGTGGACGGATCGACTCACCGGTAATGATAGTAAATTATTAATTTGTGAGTTAACGTAATTTTTTTTGTTTTAAATTATGATTTTATACAAAAATTAGCACATTTATACGATAGATAAATTACAAAAAAAAAAGAAGTGAAAACCACAAATTATTTCCTATATCAATGTGTGATTTTGTGTTTTTTTTTCTTGCACATTCTTTCTAGAGAGCACAAATGATCCGGTTTGGTTTCATTTCTTTGGTTTTATTGTATTAAAAACTTATCAATTTATAAACAAAACTCGGTTTAGTTCGGTTCAAAATTAATTAATCCAACGTCTCTCTCAATAGGTAACTTCCCATTGGTCACCAAGATCGCAGCTGGACTCATCGCAGGAGCCGTCGGATCCGCCGTGGGCAATCCCGCTGACGTGGCGATGGTGAGAATGCAAGCCGACGGACGTCTGCCGTTGAACCGCCGCAGAAACTACAAAGGCGTCGTGGACGCGCTCGAGCGGATCGTGAAACACGAGGGCGTCTCGAGTTTATGGCGTGGCTCGTGGCTAACCGTGAACCGTGCGATGATCGTGACGGCTTCTCAGCTCGCCACGTATGATCACGTCAAAGAGATCATGGTCGCCGGAGGCCGTGGAACGCCGGGAGGAATCGGGACGCACGCTGCGGCGAGTTTCGCGGCCGGGATTGTTGCGGCGGTGGCGTCGAATCCGATCGATGTTGTGAAGACGAGGATGATGAATGCAGATGCGGAGAGTTACTGTGGACCGTTGGATTGTGCGGTGAAGACGGTGGCGGAGGAAGGACCGATGGCTTTGTACAAAGGGTTTGTTCCGACGGTGACGAGGCAAGGACCGTTCACGATGATCTTGTTCGTTACGTTGGAACAAATTCGCGGTTTGTTAAAAGATGTTAATTTTTGATTTGATTTAATGTATTTAATTACATATTTACATAGATGATCAATAAATTTTGACCGTATTCCATTAAATTGCATGTATATACTTTTCAAACATTGGGTAAATGTTTATATAGTGATTTATTTTATTTTTTTATGTGTACAGATCTTCTATGAAAATAAAGATTATTCATGATCGCAAATAGTAATTTTTTGGTAAAAAAATCCATAAATATAAATTAATCGAATACTTAGCTTGAAAATGCGAAAACTGATAGCGATAGATGCAAAGGGGTTCGGTCCGTCCAAGTTCCTAGGATATACTTTTGCTGGATACCTTCATTTGGTATATTCCTTCTTCTTCTTCTTATTTTTTTATTTATTTGGTTAGTATTGGAGGAGTTGGTATCTTTTGTTTTCGTGGTTGTCATAAAATATCCCCTCATAATTCAATTAGAAGATTTACGAATTTTTTTGATTAACTATTGTTTTGTCAATGGTTTTTGAAATGGAATCTGGTCAATATATGTCTCCATAAGAGAAAAATATGTCTCTAAGAACCACCATCTAGTAATTTGCTTTCATGTGGTGTCAAGTTTGGTTCTTGTTTTTAAAAGAGGTCTACGTATTCTTTTTGTAATGATGAAATATCTAATAAATTCAAAATTCGAGTTATAACTTTTGAAAATTTTAAGTAATTTTACTACGAAGAAAGAGAAAGTATTGTCAAAATATAGTATATTATTCAAATTTTTAGTTTAATGACATTGGTCAACAAATTAACGTTCCTTTTAGTTTTTATTCTTCTGTTTCTGCTTACAAAATGTTTTCTCCGTATGCTTAAAATCTTCCATCTTTTTTGCAAATTTTGTTTTTATGTTATATTGACGGACTGTCCATATGTGAGCTTTCGCAAACCCTAACTGAATGCATAGATTAGGTAAGAAATTCATAGATATATGGCCCATTACAAGTCCAAGTCAGTTAGTAGGCCCAACTCATCTGGGCACCCATTTAGCAAAGCTTTGCATCAGTAATGATTATTTCAGCAGTATTTTCTTGGCATGATTTTGATGATTATTTCTAACAGAACACATAATTGATTCCTAAAAAATTATGAATTTACATGTACTTTCAAATCATATTAAAATAGTAATCATATGGGTCCTCTGGTCTCACACGGTAACGACCATTCTCATATCAAATCAAAAGAAGGAAAAAAAAAAAGAGAGGCAACAAGAAACTAATCTTTAGAAAGGAAATTCCTTAAAGCAAAGAAGAAAAAAAAGGTTGGAAAAAGTAGTCGTCAAGGCAATTAAGCACTTAATTCCTCGTGCATTTCTTTAATCATTCACTTGCGTCCCTTTTTCTTTTTCTTTTCTTTTTTTCCCCCTTCCTCCAAATATGGTGGATGCTCCTCAAATTTTTAATCACTTATTAAAATATCATGTATCAAAGTTTAAAACTCAATGTAAAAAAACGGGTGGGGAAATTTGATGTTTATAAGTTTATTTATTAGCTAGTTACTGATCTGGTAAAAAAATAAAAATTACAATGTAATTCGATTTTTCTTTACCAAACAAAATAATGAAGTTCTATTTTTATCCTAGCATCGTAAATGTTCCAAAACATCTCACCGACGCACTTAAAGGAAAGTTAGATTATTAAAAGAGAAAAACAATAATTAAAGAAACCACCCAGAAAAGTTTAAACTCGCTTCCACTATTTGGCTCGTTAATTAGTAAACGGAAAAAAGAAGAAACGTTGGGCAAAAAAAAAGTGAAAAGAAGACGAAAGATAGGGCTTTACTTTAACGAACAACTAAGAAATTATTACATTTGAAAACATTACTGAATTAGAGTATAAGTTATGACTTGAAATTATGGATCGTGAGGGTTTGCCATTATATACACCATAATTAGGTCTATACACGTTCGGCCCCTCGTCCCATCGCCTCCATGGCTCCATCTCTTCTAATATCAACAACAATTTTAATACTCTTCTCTATCTATTAATCAACTCACATTTGTATGCACTTAAATTAGAGAAATTTTCTTTCGTGGAGGACTATTTATTTTAAACTAATATAATCAATTGCTACTAATAAAACCTTCTTAACATAATCTAAACCCATCCTTTTTTTTTGACCTAAACCAATCCTTTTCGTTATCCATTTCCAGTAATTTTTTATTTTTTTGAACATTTTCATCTTTGTCAATTATGTTTCGTGAAGACCATATAATTTTTCATCCATACGATACAATAGAAACTAGAAAGTAATTGAAATATAAACTCGAACTGAAACTAACGTAAAGAAAAACAAAGAAAAAGCTGTAAAATAAATTAGATAATCTTGATTTGAAAATCCGAATCAAACATTCTATTTTTGTTGTTTATGTAAACTCTTTTCGTTTCTGTTCTTTTCTCTTCTAGTATTCCATTATTGACGGTAAATAAAGTGTGGGAGAAGGGTAAAACCGTCACAAGGAAAAAGGACCTCTATAAAGCAAAGTCACACTTCAGTCTTCACGCCCCAATAGTTTCCTTGGAAAATATTTTTGTAAAATTTCGATATCTCTCCTCTTATCACTTGAGGTTTGCGTGAATTCGTCGCACTAGTCTCTTCATTGTCTCTGGATCTGTGAGCTCATTCTTCCTTTGCTTCCTCTCTGTAAGCTCATGGATTCGATCATTTTGGTCTTCTTATGACTCTATGTTTTTTCTCGTGATAAATATTAGGAAACTATCTGCGAATTTGATGCGAAATGAGCTGAAATCGTTTTTGTTAGTCTAGTTTGGATTACAAGATTAGAATTTTAGCAAATTCAAGCTAGAATTTGATAGAATTGTACTTGTTCAATGCTGCAACATGCTAATCTTCTTTGGCTGTTTATGATTTTTCTAGACTTCACGAATTTTAATTGTTGTGATATCTAGTTCTTTGGTTTACCATTTCTGGATTATGATGAGATGATTCCTTCTCTTGTAACAGGATTGCTCTATATTTCTCTCTGGATTACAAAGCAGTTGATGATCAAAAACTAAAAGTGCATAGAAGGAGAAAAACAGCATGGTTTGGTTCGCAAGTTCTGTTCGCAAAGTTGTGCGCTTGAATCTGTATTGCCGTGTTATTCTGTAAAATTTCTTCTCTAAACCCACATCCAATCTTCTTCTTCTTCTCATTCTGCAGCCCTTCTCTTCTGTTTATATAATATCTTTAATAATGGGATCCCAACGTTTCTACGTTTTCCATTGTGAACAATATAGGATCATCTAAACGGTTTCTACGTTTTCTCATTCCTTTTAAATCCTGAAATCTTTTTCAAGTCTTTGTCTTTTGCTCCCTTGTCTTCTTTCTCTTTTTTTCTTCTCACGATCAATACCTTCTCCTTTTCTTTCAAGTCATCTTTTTTCCTGTAGCTTGCTCTGTTCTGTGGAGCATCTGTATTTTTTCACTCACGTGTTTTGAAAAGTTATGGTAAGCCAATCAGCTGGTCAAACAAGATTTCGAACATTGAAGTACGAGAACAACGGAGACTCTAATAACCCAACAATTGTAGTGAGAGTTATTGCTTGCTTTCAACCGATGGATAATTGTCAGGTTTGTTGCAGAAAAAAATGAAATTTATGCTCTCTTGTCACACTTTAGTTCATAGTCTTATTATTCTAACACTACTGTTTGTCTTCCACTTTCAGGCTGAATACTTTAGACATATACTCAAACCAGTGACGTAGTTGGTTTGTGTTTTCGTATTGTGTCTTCGAGCTGGCATCTTTCTTTTCTTCATTTTGTCTCTACTTTCTTTTACGATTGTTTCAAGAAAGAACCAAGGAGTACTGCGTTCATCACATTTGAGCAACAGCTTCCACAATCGGTATGCTAACTGAACATTTCCTATATTAACTTTTACATATTGTTTGTTCTGTTTGTGGATTAAGAAGGCTCTCTTGAGTTGGATTTCGTAGTTATCTCATTCATAGCCATGTAAAATAATGCATCCCTTTCTTAGCTTTTTTTTTTTCCTGCAGTAAAGTTCCATTGGCTTAAACTGCAAGAGCATGCCTCTTGACTCCAGGCAACAGAAATGGTTGCCATTGGGCGTAAATACTCAAGCTACTGAGTCTTCCCGTCCTGGAATTCCTTTTCCAGAACTTGGTAAAGTATATGCAGCTGAGCATCGGTTCCAGGCCTTACTGTCCGGTTATGATAAGCAGTCTTGTGGAAGACAAGTTTCATGTTTGAACGGGCGGTCTAGCTACGATGCTGCTCCAGATGGGGCACTCAAGTCTTCTCAGAAAAGATTTCTAATCTTCGATCACTCAGGAAATCAGACTCGCTTGTTACAATCTGGATTTCCACTGCAGTTTCCTTCTTCTGTGGCTGCAGAGCCAGGGAAAATTCTCGATTCCCTAAAGCCAGAGAATGGGTTTAGTAAAGATCATGCCATTCCAGAAACGATATTGCTCCATGGAGATCATGTTGAGAAATGTTATGATGGCAAAGAAGAAGAAGAAGAGTCAGAAATGCACGAAGACACGGAGGAAATCGACGCACTGCTGTATTCTGATGATGAAGACAATGATGATTGCGAGAGTGATGATGAAGTGATGAGCACTGGTCACTCTCCTTTCCTAGTTGAACAGCAAGCGTGCGACAAAACAAAAGAAGAAGTGGATGAAACTGAAAGCAGTGATGATGGTCCACGTCGTAAAAGGCAGAAACTAGTGGACCATTCACACAGAGACTCATTTGTGGGCACCAATAGTTTCACTAAACTCAAAGGCTTATCAGATGAAAAACTTGGTGAATCCAACAGCTCAAGCAAACTAGAAACAGGTTCTGGTCTAAGCGACGAGCAATCAAGAAAAGACAAGATCCACATCGCTCTGAGAATCCTCGAGAGCGTCGTTCCAGGAGCAAAGGGAAAAGAAGCTCTTTTACTACTAGACGAAGCCATTGATTATCTCAAGTTGCTGAAGCGAAACTTAAACTCATCAAAGGCTAGCAACCATTGGTGAAAGACTAGAAACCCACTTATTCCCTCCATTGATAAACATGTTTGGTTGGTTAAAGAGAAGACAAGGGACAAAAGATAATCAATGAGGTAAAGGACTGAAGATTCTCTCAAAATTTTCATTAACGTGCGTTTGAAACAATTAGGACACGCCTGGTGACCTAGTGGGACCGTATCCACTGTTCAGCTCAGCTGGATCAATAGTGATCTACTTTTGGATTTGGCATGCTCTCAGATAAAAGAAGGAAAAAAAAAAAGCGACTTTCTTCTGTGCTTGGAGTGGACGAAAAGTGAAAGAAGAAAAAGCTAAGTCTTGGTGCTCATTGGTCGTTAATAATTGTCTTCTTTTTTTTTTCTTCTTCCTTAGTAATAATATGTCTGTGAAAGGTGGTGGTGGTGGGTGTGAATATAGAAAAATCAAAAAGGTAAAACTGAGATTTTCTTTGAGTAGTATGTGGACTTAGTTGTGGAAATTGAAATATCTCGCATGTTCTGTGAATACCTCCCACTTTCATTAGGTCAAATCTCTGTCCCCACGCTTCTTTTGTCTCATTATTACTCTTCTGTTGCTATCAATCCCATCTCCTATCTCCTTTTTCTTTTCTTCTGTTTTTTTCAATCTCTGCCTCTTCAAGCTCTTCAATTGGACTTGTACTATTCTATAATTTCATTTGCTTCTGTTGTTTCTCTCGTGGGTCCAACACATGTTTGTTTATCAGTCTAATTCATGTAATATAAACTTCAACATTTTGAAATAATGGATATCTCCTATGCACTGCTTCTTACTTGCCATTTTTTTCCAATCCAATTATCATTCCTCGATACAGAAACAAGTTTTGAAGACTTGTAGGATACAACAAACATGCACGATATGTATCTTGGTAAAACTCGGAACTTTGGAATTAGACATGATATATAATAAACCTGGTCAAATGGCAAAAGCACAAACAAAAAAAAAAAATTAAAATTACAGCGAAGAGAAAGAAATCCTGTTTTATTGATGAGCTTGATCTGATTCTCGCCAATACCATACGTTTTTCACAACTTATTGTCTCAGAGGCCCAATCTTACGATACCTCGTTTTCTAAGCTGCATTTCTTCTGAACCAAGAGCAACTGAAAGTCATTGGCTTTTTCCTCTAACCCGACATCTCGAAAAGCATTCAAGATCCTCGAGCAAGCAGAAGCGTCAAACTCTGTCGTTTTAGACTCCTTCCACTGATCTATAACATCCCCGGCTTCTCTCAAATGACCAAGCATTAGATAAGATGAAAGAACACAAATGTAGCTTCTGCTGCTCAATTTCTGGTTAGTGTTTCTCAGAGACTTCCAAATCTGATCTATCATATCCTTGTTTCCTAATCCAGTATGCAGAATCAAAAGGAAGTCATATGTGACCCATTCTCTTTGTGAAATAGATTTCTCAGCTTCGACAGGTGAGCTGGACTCTGCACTACTTAGTCTACTACTGTTTATGTAGATACTAGTAAGATCGATATACCGAGCCCAACCCTCGTAGGAACTAGCATCACGCCTCATCTCTTCCAGAATCTTTCTCAGCTCATCTATGTTAAAGGTTGCAGCACATGAACTAAGCCACAGGTTGTAAGTAAAAATGTCCGGGGAAACCTTTTTGCGCTTTAGCACTTCGATGACCTCGGGTACTTTCTCAACTTGCCCGACTGACATGTACAAAGTCATCATCTCGTTGTATGTGATGGCACCGAAAGTGAGACTATCAGTCTCTATGATTCTCTTGAACAAGGCCTCGGCTCGCTCGGTTTGTTTGGAGCCAGCATAAGCATGAAGGAGAGAAGTATAGGTTTCAGTTGTCTTACTAGCTAGATGCAGACCCTCAAAGTAGCGTTCAGCTGCATCGATACCGAAAACTTTTGAAATCAGATCTATGCGTGAAGCGTAATCAGCATCTGAGATCTTAGATTCCTCATGGTGAACCATCCACTCTATAATCTGTAATAAGGCTTGTATGAGTTCCATAAAATGATGCAAAGCAATGCAATTTTGTGCATAAACACACATCATATTCGTAAATTTGAAGACTTTGTGAGCTTCTCAAGTCAAACCAATAATACGTAAGATAGAGCTTCTCCAGTAAAGAGTTTGCACCCAATTTTGGCTTCTCCGCTTCAATAATTATTGTAGCAGACAACAACAATCTTTCTCGTTTATTAGCCATTTCTCAATGCAGATACACAGAAATTTCAAGCCAATGACACAGTGGGCAATGTAGAAACCAAACAGAAGGAAAATGATCGATGGTAGTACCTCGAGAGCGTGCTTGTAACGCCGAGTTCTCTTAAGCTCTCTGGAGATATATCGAAGTTCAGTGACCGAAATCTGATTCCCTTCGCCAGCCCATTTCTCGAGAACAGTCGTCGCGCTCCGCTTTGGAAGTCTCAATCTGAAAATCCTGCTTCTCAGATCGTCTTTTTCCACCGAATCAAACGATTCCTCGACAAACGAGCTTCCGATTGCAGTATCAGCACTGTACGACTTCGAGAATAGCGAAGCTTCGGCGTTCCGAATGAAATTGCTTTCGAAAACTCCATTTGTCAATCGACTAAATTGAGAAGGAGAACAAATAAAAATCAAACGAAGCATGAATCCAGTTTACTTGGGAAACAGAAACGAAATCAGTAAATAAAGAGAGAAAAGGTGGGAGACTCACCATCTAAGACCATGGAAGAGCGAGCGAGTCGCCATTGATTCTCAGTTCGTGTGACCAACAAAAAGATCGAAAACGATGATCACTTACTCCGAAAAACTACGTTTTGATTTGATATCAAATGGTATAAACTTCTTAATATTTAATGGGCCCATAAAAATCGGCCCATCAGAGAAACAATGGCTAATACGACGGCTAAAACAGCCGCGAGGCAGAAGCCACCGCCGCTTCTTTATTCTTCAACTAAAATGTTCAATCTAAGCTTATTATTCATAAGCTTAAACGTTCTCTACAAACTTATCTTCCACTTGTCATATAGATAATCAGAGTTTGTAGGGAGTTTGATTTGCATCATATATTCAAATATAAACATTTCATATATTTTCTTAGAGTATATGTCTCATAGTGTCTCACTAATCATTTGACTTTTGGAGTCTAATATGAAGAGCATTATAACAGATTTATAATATATATATATTGTTTTAGAGAATTTTGTTTATTTTAAATTAGTTGTCGTTTTCAGTTTTCAATGCAATATTTATTAGTTTTTTTATTTTTTAGAATTATTTTTATTATATAATTTGTTTTATTATTGGTTGAATTGTGTTTAAATAGATAATTAATGATGTTTTTATATTAAAAAATTAAAATAATTAATATTTTATTAATTTGTGTGCATAACATTAAAACGACAACTAAATAAATCTGGAAAGAGTATATGCTAAAAGTAGAAAAGCGTTTCAACTTTCAAGTGAAGGGGCCTATCGATAAGGACTCACGAAATAGATTGGACGTAAAACATGGGATACGGATATTTTTGGATGTGAATGAAGTTGAAACTTGAAGTCTAAGATGATTTTTAATTGATCCCTATTAACAAACTGTTATTGGAGCGATATTAGCTTACAAATCTTGATTCGACAAGCCTGCTCGAAGCATTAAACACCATCTCACTAATGATAATTAAGAATTCCTAGGATAATTTTTAATTCAAGTTACCTAAAAAGGTGAGATTCGTAGGAAAGTGGATTGATAAAAAACAAAATGAATATTCCCATCCCACTATAAATACCATTTGTTTACGAAGCGATACCCCAACATAAGCTACTGATTTATTCTATCTTTTCTTTTAGCCGTAGCATAATTAATTTCTCAACCATTAATTCCCGCGTATCGTAAAGTTGGTTATAGTAAAGCGAAAACTACAAATCGATTTTATTATCCCGCATGAAAATAGAAATAGGAAACTATCCTTGACATATTTCCAGGATCGAATGTACACGTCATGTAAAACGACAAAAGAAGCACATCCCACTTTTCCCAAACCCCGAACCAGACGCGATAGATATCTACAAGTACAGCTTTCATTTGACTCCAAATAAGCTTTTTTAGCTCGACATCACCATCGATTCTTGCCACGTGTTCCATTCTTCACCACTGATTCAAACCAAAGTCTTACACGTCGAAGTCTGCGGGTCCCACATCGCTGGTAAAAGATATTTCCTACCGGCGAGGCCCAAAGCGTTGTAACTCGCTCCGGTCGTCTTGTCCACGAGAACCCGACCCGCGTAACCCGGGTAAGCACCCGACCCAAATATCCCGGTACAGGCCGAGACGGCTTCTTGAGGCCCATTGAAGTAACCGCTTTTAAACGGATTCGTGACGGTGTTAACCAAAAGCGTCGCGAGGTTTATAATCATTCCATCAACTCCGACGTCACCGTTAGGCGCGACTAACGGCGGAGACTGAGGTCCGTAAATCGGTTGATGAAACGGCCACGCGCAGTAACCAGGACACTGCCTCTCAGAGTTTCCGACCCACACGTAAGCTCCGCCGTTAACGGAACTTGATTTCGACCCGTGGGTCCCGCATCGGTTCATACAGAATCCTTCAACGGCGACGTCTTTCGCCGTTAAGACGACGGTTATCGACCGAACACCGCCGCCGTTAAGTTTGCTTGACAGAGCTCGGAGGTATGGGCTTTTAAGGGATTTTCCGAGAGGGTAATTCTCGAGGAGGAGCTGTTTACCGACGACGATCGTTGACGCGCCGCCTTTGTACTTCTCAGTCGTCTTCCACCACGACGCGACGGTGGGACCTTTTGCGGCGGCGGTGGCGGAATTGAGAGAGCGGATGAAATCGACGATGATGGATCGTTGGATTGGGGTGAATTTGCCGTACCAAATGAGATTGAGAGTGACGTTTCCTTTCAAGAGAATGCCGTTGTGGTACTTGAGCACAAGAGGCTCCTGCTCGACCAACGCGGCGGAGGAGAAGCCGACGGTGGCTGAGAGGAGAACGAGAAGAATGGCAAAACGGTAATTATAAGCCATTTCTGGGAGGATAGAACAGAGAGAAGGCAGAGAGAGAAGGTTTTGGTTTTTAATTTGAAGTTTTATGAAACTAGAGAAGGCTCTTATTTATACCGGAAATATTTGAACGGGGAACAGCTGTAGAATGCGATGAGCGTCCATGTCAACGTAGTCCACGTGGATGTATTTAAGTGGTTAGGCAAGTGTATTTGACAGCCTGTACTGTAGTGAGGTTCTTCTAGGGTGACGTGGTAGTTTACGTAAACGTGTGTGTATTAAATCATTTTCATTATTGGAAAAATGAAAACTATATAAATTAAAATCTAAATATTAGGCGACAGGGATGAACGCTTCCGTGCATGTCCGGATAAAGTTTTATACTATTTACATTGAACAGTTCCCGTCTGAAGTTATTGAAAGATTGTTGTAATCATGTAATAACTCAATAAATAAAGTTGATTTATTTAATTAAACTAAAATCTAAATATATATGTTGAGGGACACTGTATTCTATACGTTTCTTAACGCACAGAGTTTCCGTTAACATTTTATCATCATTTACAAAACCATGGGTGTTTCATTTGGATGACCAACTCAACGAATTCATAAAACCAACAAAACTCAACAAATACACAGAGAATAATTGACGAAGTTTTTGATATACATTGTTCGTTTTTGACCAAAAACCATTTATCATATTTGATGCGACTATTTAATTACTTCCTCTACCAAGTGACCTACATAAATTGTTTATGTTAAATTTATTGTTAGAAAATACGACTGAATCAAATTCTTTATTTAAAAAAAAAAAAAAAAAAAATTAGTTGCTACCTCTATAGCTTCCTTTTGATATTCATTTTTGTTATCTGCAGTTGTTAGTGATTATAGTTTCTAATCTTCAACCGGTTGATCTTTTGTGATTAATTTTTTTTTAATTTTAGTTTATAAGTTAACAATTGCAACATCTAAACCGACCATACACTAACTACACTAGAATATCGTAATAAGCATGCGGTTCAAAATCTATTGTTTTAAGGAAACCCATAATGGTGAAGAGCACTTGCTTCTGTAGGGACCAGAGTCCATACACGCTTCAGTATCGAATTTGTGTATAATGTATTATATCAGTCTATATAAATTGGGTGTTTGTATAGAAATATATAAAGTGTTTGAGCAGAAGCAGTCAGTAGCTTGGGTAAGGCGTACAAACCACGCCCTTTCCAACATCAATTATTGCCCTTACATCTGCTAGGGTAAGAACATCCGCAATGCAGTCTCCCACAAGCATCTTTAGTAATTTTTTTGATTAAAAAAATGAATGCAGAGGAGAAACAGGCTGAAGACATTTCTTAAATGAGGACTGGTAAAAACGTTTCTTTTTGGACACCTGACACTTTTAATATTAAACAAATAAATAAGAGATTAAAGTAAGTTTGAGTTGCGGATGCTCTAAGGTCCACTCACTCTTCTTCTGTTTCTTTAGCCTTTTGTTTTTTCGAAAATCTCTTTAACTTTAGTTATTCTTCGCCTTTTTTAATATAGCTTTACTAACTTTCTTCTCTAAATTCTAGAATGTTGCAAGTTTTTATATACACAACTTTGTTTGTGCATTGAATGATGCGGAATCAATTTTTTTTTATTTAAAAAAAACTATAAAATGAGTTTCAAAATGAAAATAATTATATACCCTAAAGTGTTCTTTGATGAGACCGCAACCAATTTTGTTACACACATGAAAACAAATGCTCTACAATTTTATTTGTGGTTAAAACTTAAAACCATGGCAAACTTATTTTTACGCCATAGATGTATCCACATTTGATTTTGATATTTCTCTTGTAAATCAAATTCATTTAGACACTAGAGTAAAAACCATAGCCGGTGGATTTTCTAACTTCTAGGCACGACATACGAGGAAGACGAGTCTCGTAGGTCCTACATGTAAGTAAGTTTATTAAAACCTGAAAATATAGTTTACGTCACATTGTCAGAACTCGAAGTCAGAACTACTCTCTCTTGTGTGATAGGAATAAGATTGGTAATAATATTTACCTCGCCTTATTTTTAACTCGTGAACATTTTTATCATTCTCAGTAAAACATAATCTAGTTTTGCCGTACTATATTTTTGAGAAAGTAACAAAACAAAATACAGTATCAAGTGAAAAAGTTGCAGTTACCGCCTGTTTTAACAGATTCAAAGTTGATTTTTTACACTTTGTAACTACAGAATTTGTCAGTGTATAATAAACGAAACTTAATTCTAATCAATATATAAAATTGTTTTTCTGATACAAGAACTGTTATGCCAAATGGATGACAGTCACCATTTTTCCTAAGAGAATCGAATTTTCGTTTATACTTATTTTTTATGTCACATCGTCTTTCATAAAATCATTTTCCATTTTTTTGTTTACAATTGTATATATGATAATAACGTATCGACATCCAATTTCCCTTACATTAACTGTGAACTGTTGTTAATATCATTTCTCCAACCAATAGAGTGATATGGATATAATACAACTTTGATTTGATCTATTTGAAAGCTAAATGTTTCTCATCAACTCTTAACAATTAATGTTTTGCTGGTGTGAGCGTGCGTGTGGTAGGCATATGTAATTGCCAATGTGATTCGTAGAGCTAAACACTGATCACAAGGCGGCGAAATTATGAAATAATATCAACGCCATTATATGCTTCGTTAGCAACTTGGCATGAAATGAGACACGTTTTATGTTTTAATGTCTTGTGAAAGCGACAAATTATACGTGATACGATTAATCATACATAATGCACGAACTCATATATGTGTACATATAACCTAACTTCAAAAAAATATCAATCAGCAGCTACATATGACCTAACGAACCCATATTATATTATTAATTGTCGTTGCTATTCAATTGGAAACCTACAAAATTAAGATATAGAATGAAAAAACATGTTTCAAATTCAAATGAGATGATATAAATAAAATGAATGAAAAACTAATTTTTTCAATGATTTTAAAAGAATTTCAATTATTATTAAGAAGTAATATATATAACAATTAATTGTTGATTGAATATATATCTACTTGAAAAATATGAAGTTTTGAAAGTAGGACCATATGTATATATGTCGGCGAAGTCAATTAAAGTTAGCAAACGAAGTCGTATGTAATGTTAAAATACCCATTCTCCTCCATATCATAACTTTTGACTTTAAGAGTAAAACGTAATAGTCGTATCACTTATGGGCAAATGTTGCATGCATGCCCACTTGGACCATTGTCTTGCTCCTTTTTCCTTTTATCTTGGGTCAAAGAATGTAGAAGTTGTATATACGAAACAAAGATAAAAGCATGAAACATGTGATTATATTCAATGGCTTCAAAACTGCGCGCGTAAGAAAGTTTTAAAGATGTGTCTAACATTAAAAAGAAGAATATTTACGATAACTGATAACTTTCTAAGAAAATAGAAGTAAAAAGACCGTAGGTCAGTAAAGTTTTCCCTCCGTTTGTAGCGCAGTAGCAGCAACAAATTACAAAGTTTCAACTGAGTTATAAAAAAAAAAGTAATTTCCATCAAAGCTGTAACATTAATTGTTGTAACGCTATTTTTATTTTTTTTTGTTTGCTGGAAGCCTGGAACAAATCGCTGAAGATGGTCTTTAGTTTTTCATTCGTTGTCAAAATAAATTCTAAATTTTTTAAAAAACATACTATTATTTTTAATTATAAAGAAAAACATACAGCTATATATTATATAATGCAAGCGGATAAAAACGAACATAAAAACTCAAATCATCGTAGCCAAAAACACGACACACTTGTATAGTGACAACGACACTGCTTCAACAGCCACAATAATTAAACTTTTCTTCATAGAAAAAAAAAAAAACTTTTCTATTGACATGAGATACTGAAAAAGACTAGCGAAAGAAACGTAAGTCCTATCAAATTATTAAGAAGTTTGGTATTAATAATATATATAGATAAGGGTCCGTCTTAAATTGAAACTTGTTGTCCTGTGATTCTTAATGTTAAACGTCACAAGTATTCGTCTGCATTCGACGTGTGCCGGCAATTATATCAAACCCACAAGAGCTTCAATAATTATTAGTCCGCACAAACAGCCAATACCAAATTAAAGTAATTCCTAGCTCTTTACTTACTTAATTCTATAATTTCATCACGAATGCATGAGCCAGAAAGAAATCGATGATAAATGGGATTATAATCCACATGCAACGTAATTAATACTAACTTTCTCAAAGTCCTTTAGAAATGCCATAATTAACCAACAACATCATTGTAATTTAACCATAAAACACATTATTAAATCAGTAGAATGGTTTACCTTCTATTGTTTAAGCAATTAGTATAATCTTTAGGTTTAGGACAAGGTTGGGTTTGTTAATCAATTGATATTGTGAGGTACGTTGGTCTTATATTGCCGCCGACCGACCGACCAGCTTCTCATGTTGACTAACCAATTAATCTCCTCAATGCACAGATTGGTCCCATTTCTCTTGTCATGTTTATATAGGAGTCAATATTTTTGGAATCTTCCCTATGTAATTCGAGCTTAACATATATACACAACAAAACTGAAGATAAGAGAGCCAGATAAAATAGAAGCATGATATTTTTTTTTTCAAAAAAGGGATATTGACTTAAGTTATAAAATTCTGGAGTTTGGCCAATGTACACATTTTTTCTCCGTTCCAAAGCAAACCCAAACATAACAACACAACATTTGTTTTTTCATTGAAGTAGATTAGATCATAATATATAGAACTATAAGTTCCCTTATTTTATATCACCCTCAAATATATTTGTGTTTTTATTTAAAACCAAACAAGTTTTTGTTCAGTATCATGATTTGTTAAGAGTAATGTTCCTCAAAGCCCATCAAGTCAAAGATACAGCCCATTTAGAAAATCTCTAGGACTTCCTTTTTCAAACTATTGTGGATCATCAAGGTCTGTTATTTTTTTATTTATTTTTTAAATCGTGTTGTGAGAAACCGTGATTCCTTAATTTGACGTTATGTTTTCGATAACAAAGAAAAGATCACCCTCTCAAAATGCAGTAACGCGAAATACAGT